TTGTAAATATTACATTAAATGCTATTATGCTTATTGAATCTATAATAATAGCTATTTTAAGAGGCCTCAAAAGAATTCACAAATATCCGGGTGTGATATTTGATTTTACTATATCTTTAATTTTGGTTATTCTAATAATTGCAATTATGGCACTTTAATAAGACAGTTTCAGTTAGGATATATTGATAAAAGTTTGCTGCTCTATAATGAGTCTTAGGTTGTTCAGAGGATGCACTTGGTTATTAAAATCTACAAATTTTGTTAATATCTTATTTAAAATATTTTCTATATCTACTTATTTATTGTAACTTTTTGGAACTTTAATAGTAACAATGACTATATTTAATGCAATTGGTTAATTAATATTTGGAGGCAAGATTAATTACAATCAATAGCATCTAAATAACTACTAATGGGTTAATTTCAATGATTTTTTATCAGGCTTTTGCACTTGTTGGTTTTTATTAATTGTAAACAATTGGAATGTAATGTCATACGATTTTTCATTAAGTCTTTAAAGTGATGTTATTTACTTATTTTTCATCTTCTACTACATAATAGTTGTTTTATTAGCTTAAAGCGTAACAATAGCTTTGTTAATTGAATATTTAGTTAATCATGTAAAGGACTTGGGTTAGTCATCAGAAGATGAAACAAAGTCAGAAATATCTTTTGAATAGAACTATCAAAATGAGTTATTAGTTCCTTTATAATAGAACTTTAAGGCTTAATGAGAATGTCATTTGTGATAATATATTGTCTAATTAATAATAAAATATTTAAATAGGATTATAATCCTTTATTAATAGGTTTATTCTTAATAAACTAATTTTCTCTGGTTGCTTGTATTTAATTAATAGATTTTTTTATATTTATTTTATGTTACAGTTTTTCAAGTTTTTCTGATTACTCAAAATGATTGAATAAAAATTTGGAAAACAAAATTCAAAATGATTTTTTTATAAAACAAAGTGGGAAAATTAGGAAAAAAAATAGAAGAAATTATTGTTATCTATAAAAGGGAACCATTAGTGAAAGAGAGAAAGTATAGTCATTATTATTGATTAAGGATCTTGAAAATTATAGTATAGTTGAGAAGTCAAAGTATTTGTGATTTTTTTAATTTTATAAGTTTTAATATTATCTATAAATATTTAAATGGTTTCAATGAGCTCATTTATAGAACCTCCCTTCTAAGTAATTAAGAAGACCATACGAATACGATTAAATAGTTGCTCATTAAAATCTTTAAGCGATTAGAATAACTTAATGGATAGTATTTGGATGAAATTATAAATGCTATCATTTACTGTGAACTAGAATAGCTTTCAAAATCAGAAATTTTTCTCATTATTATCTCGAAAATTCTTAGATATTCAATATAAAATATTTGTTATAAGAAACATTGAAATAATTAATAGTAAACTGGTGCATAAGTAGTATTCGTAATATTTCATAAAGAATTTTGGAAGGTTGTGGATGTGAAATGGGATGAAATTTTTGACAGGAACTGAGTTGCAAACTATGATTTTTGGGACAAAAATACATTAATATGTAAGAACTATTATAGGCTAAAATATATTATGGATATGATTTGAATTCTGAATATATAAGAATTTTCTGGGCTTATATTCATTCATTAGATGAATAACAGTAGAAGAGATTTTTATTCTTTTGTAAAGGATCATATAGAATTCCTGTGGGAGGATTTAAATCACTAAAATTCTTAATTTAGAAACATGGTGAAAGTACAAAGTATATTACATATATATAGACACTGAAGAATTACCATCAGCGCATACATGTTTCAATATTTTTTTATTGTCATAATATGATTCTGTTGAAAAGATGATAATAGTGAAGGATTTTGACTCATATGATGGTCATATTTGTATCTTAAAAATGTGTGAATATATATATTAATTATCGATTTGTCTTTTGGTTAAAATTGGTTAAATTAAAAAATGAAACAAAATCAATAATTAACAACAGATGAAGATGAAATGCTTCCTGATGAACCTTGGAGAGATTATATAGAGTAGTTTAAAGATTTGAAGTAAAAAGGGAATCAGAAAACAGAATAAGAACTCTAAATATATACAAAGATTGAATAAAACTTAATCATTATTGGTAAGGGTCCTAAGCCAAATCCTGATAAAGCATAATTCATTCATAAAACTAAATGTCTTTTGCTAAGACTTAAGAAGGATTTACATTTCTTTTTTGCAGAGGAGCATGAACTGACTCTTTAATGCATCACAATATTATTACTTCAAATATTAGAGGATTATCCATATATATTTAATGATTGTCAATAATAAATATTAGAAATGCTTACTTGTCTAACATTAAAAGATTATACATTAATGCTATTGATTAATTCTATAAGTCTAAAAGAGTATATAAAAAAATCGACAAAGGAAATATTCTTAGATTCAACACAATATAATCCAGTAAGTGAAATTTTATTTCTTTTAATTGTGATGATGATGGCTCATTTTGATTTCATCAAGAATCCAGAATTAGAATTAGTTTAATTAGTTGTGAAATGTTTTCAGCATTATTAGGATTAAAGGGACAAAACATTGAAAGAAAGAGAAGATTATGATTAACGAAAAAAGTTTGAAAAAAAGATTGTTAGAAAGGCAGGATTGGATCAAGAAAAATAAGATCTTCCTCCTGAATTGAAATACATGTAAGTACCTTAAGAAACATGTAGAATATTGAAATTAGGTTTATCACTTATTCCTAGTAATATTTGTTAAATGCCTTCATCTTATAAGTATTAATAATCTGAAGAGATAATGAAAGAAACATCTTTAAATGTCTTTTTTTGTACATTAAGTTTCAAGATTAAATAAACATTAGTAGAAACAATCAAAGAAAATAAAAGAGATTTTGATGTAGTTTAGATGTTAGTTGATATTGCTGGAATGCCAGAATGTTTTACATAATAAAGAGAGGCTTTGAGAACAGTTAATATGTTTTTAGAAGGATTTGATGATACATTATTATGGATTAAATTTGATTCCACTAATTTATTTGACAATAGTAATATCAATAATATACAGATTTATGGAGATCCAACTAAATTAACTATAGATTAAGGATTATTTTATGATGGTTGTGGTTGTTTCTTTGATAAAAATCAAGTACTTTAGTTGGAAGAACCATTAAAAATCAATAAAAAATAGATTGCAGTAGTATTTTGGATGGTCATGTTTAATCCTGAAACTAGTAAAACTAGAGCTGCTTAAAATAATTACTAAGTACGTACTTTATTGGGTTCTAGTGATGGATTTACATCTTTAATTATTGCAGATGCTTATTCTTAATTATTGGGAATCACAAATATTGGTTAAGATGGTTATGGATATAAGTTTTTTGAGCCTAAAAATGCTGAGAAAAATTTTTCTGGTTGGAATCATGTTGTAATTATTTTAGATAATGAATAACAATCAGCATTTTTATATTTGAATGGAAATTATGAGAGTCAAATTAATAAAGTAATAACTTAATTTGATATTTAATTTATTGGTAATAGTGGATCATTAGATTAACCTATAGGATATATTTGTGATTTGAGAATATATCCTAGAATATTAAATGATTAAGAAATTAAAACATTATCATATTATGATAAAAAATAAGTTGTACTTAATAGTAAGAATGATATTGTAGAGTTAATTCTGAGTAATAGAGTTATTTTAGATCTAAAAAGATTATTGGGTTATTTCACTGGTAAGAATTCTGAAGCTTTGATCTAGACACTTTAAATTCTATCAAAGTTATGTCAAGCCACCACTATCTTTAGGTTAGAATGTGCCAAGTATGGAATCTTTGATTTAGCTATGTAACTCTTACCTTCCCCTAATTAATAAATATCATATTATGCTGGAATATTAATTAATAATATGAAATGAAAAATAATTAATTTCTAATCATTTTAATTATAAGAATATTCTTACATATATTAAGAACCGAATTAAAAACTAAGACCATAAAGCATGAACAATAATAGAAAATATATTGCATTATCTATAATTCATAGGATTTATCCATTTGAACTTGCAATCAAAAAGACAAATCAAAAGTAATTCTTTGGTCTTATTCAATATACTGCTGATAATCAAAAATCTTTTCATTTTAAATTAGAGAATAGAGGATAATTAATTATATTGTCTTTAAAACAAATAAAGAAATTTAACGGATTATCGAAGAAATGTTAAAAAAAAATTAAAAAATGATCCCCTTAAAATAGATATCATCAATTTCTCAATGAACCATATACTTTATGATAATATCTCTTTATTAGATAATAATGAAAGCTTAAAAACAATGATGATTTATTTCAAAATTAGTTAATAAATATTATATATATAAACTTATATAAATATATTCTTGTTCTAAATTATTTTAAAAAAGCTAAATAAATATTTATAATAAACCCTTTCACTTAAATACTTTATGATTTCTATTCAATTATTATTACTAATGATTAGAAATTTTGAAATATAATTTTTATCTGATTTAAACTGCAAAAATAATTAAAATATTAAAAAAGGTCAATCATTAGTTAGTTTATATTTTAATAATTTAATTCAAATACTTTAGTTTCTTTATGGCTATGATAGTGATTAAAATTAGAAATATCAATAAAAAATTTGACCATAATAATTAATTATATTAGTTTTGCTAATTTAATTAATCATATTTAAATAAAACCATATTAATACATCTAATCAATTTTATAAGATAAAGACACTTGATAGGATATAATATATTATCATCTATATATAGATATTTAATAATTAAAATGAAGATTAAAGAAGTATATTCACTCATTCAAGTTTATGATTTATAATAATAGTGATGTTATTTATTTGTAAACTTAATTAATAATTAATGAGGTGATATGTTTGACTTAGATTACGTGATTTAATTTGAATTAGTTAATAAATGAATCTTTATATTAAATTATTAATTATATTATTAAAATAATGAATGAAGATAATATGTAGAATTTATTGAACAAAAAACAAACTTTTGAATCCAAATATGAAGTATGAGTATGAATTAAATAGGAAATTGTAGCATTAACTTTACGAATCAATTAATTGTAAGACTCAGTATAAAGAAATATTGATTTGGATGATGAGCATATGACTTTAATCTAATTATAGAGGGATCAATCGTATTTATAGATTATGAGTTATTTAGAAAGAAACTTTTAGAAACAATACAAAGTATGATTAATGAACTTGAAAGAGGAGCTAAAGGTTTTGAATAAAAAAAATAAGTTAAGAATGCAAAATAGTAATTGGCAAAATAGAAAGATCGATATTAATAATTATCAAAAGAATTGAATAAATTATCATTCACTTAAATTGAACATACATAAAATAAAAGTCAATAATAACATTAGATTTCTGAATAATAAGAATAACACTATAGCTAAGAATCTTTAGATTTAGAATATTAAATGATTAAAGAAAGATAAGAAGACATTAATCATATATAAAATCAATCATTAACATTACAAAAAATAATGAATGAATTGGGATTAAAGGTTAATGATTAGGGTAGGTAAAATGTGTAATTTAAGATTAGTAACTTGATTTAGTTGTGCATGATCTCTAGTAAACAAAATCAAATGTAGAACATGCAAATTAAGAAATAAAAGAAGCAGCCAACAGTTAAAAATAATCAAGATCAAAATATTATATTATGTTATTTATTGCATCAATGTTATTGCTTGGAACATTGGGTGCACTATTAATTTCTTGATTAATAAATATATATATATATAAATAATATTTAATAAATTTCAAGGTAACAATTACTCTTTAATTTTTTATCTTCTTATTAAATATAGAATTCCAATTCCTAAAATACCAAGAATTGAAAATCCTAATAAAGTCCATAAAATTATATTTAATGTTTTATTACTATTTATTTATCTATCTTAAACACACCAAAAATAATCTACTACTTATTATGTGATTAAATCTATTTATTCAAAATAAATATGGGTTGAATTATGAATAGTCATAATACCAATTCCATCATTATAACCTGTTTAAAATACAGTATATGGTTAATTTTCATCTAAATAAATTGTTGAATTAAATACATGGAACTAATGGTGTATAATATTCTTGACCAGCAGAACCTTCAACTATATAAATAGGAGCTGCAGAATTCTTTACTAGATGTTATTATGGTCCATCAGTTATTAATCCTGTATTAACTTAAGATTAATTATTAATAAATGGAGCATCTCTCTCATAATTATGTTAATGAGCTGACATATAAATAGCCACTCTATATTTTGTAAATAAATCTGCAAATGGTTGTAATGCTATAAAATTTTAAGAACATTAATTATCACTAGAATCACTACAATACATAGGGAAATGACTATTAACTATTATCCATGGTACATTCTCTCTATTCTAATTAGCTTAATTTAAATCATTCTCCATAATTTAAACCATTTCATCTATTTATTATTAATTACTTTCATTATAAACAATATTTGTTGGATTATAAAATATATAATGAACCAAACCCAAATCTACACTATAAAAATTATAATAGTTATTTCTTGTATTATATTAAGATTTTTCAGGAGATAGAAAAGACATTCTATAATAATCAAATTCATAATTTGCTCCAGAATCATGATTTCCAGGAGTTGATAATAATGGATAATATGATGTAAATGTAGTCATATTTCTTAACCACCAATCACCTTATTAACAATTATAGGATTCTAAATCATAAGCCATATCTCCTTCAAATATTAATACATCATAATCACTTTAATTATATTAAATTGATTAAAACCAATCAAATGTTTCTTTTGATTTATTACCATTCCAATTTGAATCCATATCTCCAAAAAATATAATTTTATGTTCTTTATTGTCATATTATTTTAAAGGTACTTTAAATTAATATTTATTACTTTTTGAATCTATATCTCCATATATTTCATAATAATATATTTAACCAAACTTTTAAATTGTATATGAATTCAAAGATACAATATTTATGTAAGTTACATAAGTAAATTATTAATTTGAATTTTCATAAATCTTACTCATATTCAAAATTCTAGTCTCTCTTATTTTAATCCATTAATCAATTCCATTTTCATCAAAAATATGCAAAAATCCTTATGGACAATAAGACTATAAATATATATATTTAAAATTTACTTAAGTATTATAGGTAATATCAATAATATCATCTTCTTTATTATAGTTTGTATAATAATATCCTAAACTAATTCTTTGTCCATATGGTATACAATTATCACCAACATTTGTTGAAATTAAAAAAGATTTTTTAACTAATTCATTTTATATTAATTCATCATTTTTATAATATTTGAATTAAAGAATACTTGAATTATGAATTTAGAATTCAATTTTAAAATTTCTTTTAAATTAATTACTTTTTAAAAATGTAATTAATTAACTATCAATTAATGATATAAAAGTATCATATTATAAATGTTATAATTAAATCTAACAACTTTAATCTCCAATCATTACTAACCAAAAATTATGATTCTAAATTAAATGTTCTAATATTTTATTAACATTGCATTCATTTATAAGAATTAAGGCTATTGATTCAATCTTAAAACTCATCACATCATTATCTTCAATCTATAAATTTAGTGATGAGTTTTCAATCAATATTTAAGAATTTCCAAATTAATTTAATAATTTAAATGGTTGTTAACCATTTTTTTAAGGTAATCTCAAAATTATAGATTTCATTCCTAATGTGATATTATAATCTATATTCATTTAAACTGAATAATTCTTATAGATTTTAGTTGTATATTCATAATAAAGATTGTCTATTAATACTGATTAATATTTTAATCTAATTCTATTTATCTAAGAGTATGAAAGGCATTCTTCCTAAATTGATCAATTACTAATACATAAGACTTATATTGAAGTGTAGCCATAATCTAACCCTCTATATTAGAATAATAATCTCCAAGAATGATTTATTCATCAAATGTATTACAATCCTTACTTAGAACTAAATGAATATTGGCAATCACAAAAATTAGAAACATTAATTTATTAATTTATTTATAAAATATTAACATACATACACACATTATATATACAATCATCGATTTAAATATTTCTTTGCTGTCTCAAATGCATAGAAACCAATAGCATTAGCATAAAAAGCTCTAAAAATACAAACAGAATATCCTTTAAATAAACATCTCCAACCATTTTTGCCTACTTGTTCAACCATGCAACTATAAAATCCTCCATCGAAAAAATGTGGTTTATACTTTCTAGTCTTACCAATACCTGTATCACATTGCAACATTGTCTTAATAATCTTTTAACATAGACTTTCTAATTACATCTTAAGGATATCCAATAGTCCAACAAGCAATACCTCCCAAACCTCCAGATATCAACATATCAACATTACTTGCTTCCTTTTACTTTTTTAAAGATATTAAAGCATCCTTCACAACATCATAAATGACAAATAAAGCTGCATATCCTAATATTTCTCTTTAACAAGTAACATTCATCCCTCTATATAATTAATTGATTCCCTCTTTTCTTGCAATCTAAAAATCACTAAGAATCAACCTAAATCATGCAATCCACTGGATTCTTCCATACTTTATTTACATTTTAAACTTGCATTTATAATCTGCATTTAGCTAATTCAACAGGACATGATATAAATGAAGCAGCTAATCCAGAAAGCCCTCCTGCTATCATACTATTATTAATTATTATTAAATACTTTTAATAACAAGTTAATGATTATTTACTATCACCTATGAAAAACCTTTTCCAAAATTCATGAGTTGAAAATACTGTTGCTTATAAAATAGGTACAGACATAAAAGGAAAGAGCATTCCTTTATAAAAAGAAAATATTCCTTCATTTTTCATCATAGATGTGATTGTTGTAATAATTCCATCATGTGACATTTACATTCTTACTTTTATTGTATCCATTGGATGACTTGAAATTATATTGCACATTCCACTAAAAGACCCAGCCAAAATATCTAAGACAATTTATTTTCTATTTTCATAAGCCCATTCTAAAAAATCACTCATTAGATATTTTATTTAATAATAATTAACAAACTTTATTAAAAATTATCAAAAATACTCTTTTAATTATCTAATTGCCAAGATTATTTAAATCTTACTATTACTATAAGGAAACCTTAATATTTTATTTATTTAATAGTCCTCATAAAAATGAAATTACAATTATATGAAACTAACTAAAAATAAATAATAAATATATGAATATACTATTTAAACCTTTAAAAATGGGAGATATGCTTCTACCTAACAGAATATGTATGGCAGCTTTAACAAGATAAAGATGTGATAACAATGACTTAATCCCAAATGATTTAATGGTTAAATACTATACTTTAAGAGCAGATTCAGGATTCATGTTGACTGAATGTGTTCCTATTTCTGAAAGAAGTTTAGCATTTCCAGGTTAACCAGGAATATATACAAAAGAATAAACATTAGGATGGAAAAAAGTTGTTGATAGTGTACATTCAAAAGGAGGAAGAATAATAGCATAGATTTGGCATGCAGGAAGAGCTTGTCATTCATCATTTTAAAATGGATTATAAGTTTGGGCTCCATCAGCAATTGCTCCAAGAAGTAAGGTAAGAAGATCACAATTATTTCATGAAATACCTCATTAAATGACTATAGATGATATAAAATTAGTCATTTAACAATTTAAATAAGCTGCTATTAATTGTAAAGAGGCAGGATTTGATGGAATCTAATTACATTGTGGTACTGGATACTTGATAGATTAATTTCTAAGGGATAGTGCAAATAAAAGAATAGATGAATATGGTGGGACTATATAAAATAGAAGCAAATTTTGTTTAGAAGTCATTGATGAAATTATTAAAATTTATGGAAATGGTAGAGTTGGAGTCAAGATTTCTCCTGTTGCTAGAGTAAATGATATGTGTGATTCAGATCCACTTTCATTATTTTCTTATTTAATTTAAGAATTCAATAAAAGATAATTAGCTTTTATTGAATTAAGGGATGATAATGATATTGCTAATTATTCAAATTATGGATATCCTGGAAGCAAGGAATAAATACCAGATTTATTTTAAGCTTTTAAACCCTTATTTAAAGGTGTATTGATAGGAAATATGGGCTATACTCCAGAAACTGCTATTAAAAATATTGAAGAAAATAGGTTTGATGCTGTTACTTTTGGAAAATTATTTATATCTAATCCAGATTTAGTTACTAGAATTCAAAAGAATTATGAATTAAATTATAAATGGGATGAAAGTACTTTTTATACAAAAGGAGAAAAAGGTTATTTAGATTATCCTTTATATGAATAAATTTAATAATGAATTTTTAATAATATATTGATAAATAGTAATAGTTTCTTTAAAGTCATTTCTAAAACATATTTTTTAACTTTTTTTATTATCGATTCTTGAGATTTATACTATTTTTTTTTGATAAGTAAATACTCGAAATTATATCTGCTTATGATCCTAATTTACTTTATTATAAATTCTTTGTAGAAATAAGCATTTACATACTCTATTGCATACTCATTTTTTTATAATTATTAATACTAATTTAAGTATTTAAGTGAACATTAGATTGAGATTTTGATTGAACTTTTTTATATTAATTGTTCTATTTTATTGGAGAACGACTATTTTCATTTAAAATAGCCTTTAATTTTCTACTTACTAACTCACTTTTTTTAATCAATGGTTAATAATTTAACTTAGTAGTTGATAAGCTTGATTGTTATGTATATACTTTTGCTTATTTAATCTATTTAACTTTTATTTAAGTGGGCCTAATTTTATTTAATAATGATATTATAGACTTAGATATGGAATCCTCTTATTTAGTATCACCCATCATTAACATTTTTGTAAAAGGAAGATCATTCTTATTATTTTTAGTATGAACTAACATTCCTAATTGATACTTAATTTAAGTGTAATGGTATTCTCTAATAATATAATAGATGATACTTTCGTATTTTATTGTATTAATTTATTGCTTTAGAGAGTGGAACCATAAAAAAATGAGGAGTATCCAATCGATATTTATAATATTCTGTTAAATCTACTAATTTAGGTCCTATTTCATTTTACTAAAAGTATTTTTTAACAAACTCTTCATCTTTGATTTCTTATGCTTTCTCAAAAAAATCAATCACCCATTTCTTATGAGAATGTTTAATTATATCTTCAATTGGTTGATCATCATTCTAATTATACTTCAAATACAAAGCCTTATTTTATTATCAAATATAATTACAGTTTTAAGAAGAATTGGAAAATTGATTTTGCCATCTGTTCTTTGCTTTTCGCAAAACAAACAATTAATTTGCATTATATTTTTATTATTATTTAATGAGACCTATTCCATGGTTTGTTAGATTGGGCATTGATGTGTCCATATTTACAGTTCCAATCATATTATTAGCAAGTATTTTACACTTATGAATATAAAGGTTATCCTAGATTGGGTACACATTTTCTTAACAATAGAAGAAGGAAGTATAGAAGAAGAAGTATGACTAAATCATTAATATTTTAGATTTTGATGAAATATAATACAGAAATGATAGTACCTTATCAAGTGAAGAAGTCATCACCTTCAGAAAGAGACTTGGATTTGAAGACCTTATTTGAAAAGATGAAATACATATTAAATCAATATAATTCTTTTGAATAATGTAGTATAAGTATAAAAATTAACAAAAAAATTATCATTTTGCCTACTCAAGATAGAGTATAAATAAATACATCTACAATGAATATCTAAAAAAGGATAAACTTCTGTATTACACTATGAGTTACCCTTTTTTTAATAGCATTTCTAAATTTTATAAATTGATATGAAATTAGAAGATTTTAAAATTAACCAACTATTTGTAATTGTAAAATATTTCATTTTATAATTACAATTAATATAATTCTAATATTTATTATATAATTATCAAATGTCTAAAAACTTAAATTTAATAAAAATTCAATTTTTAATACAAATCTAATCTAACAAATATGGATACCCAATTTAATCAACAAAAAGGATTACAGGTTTAAGATCAGAATAATTAATTGATCTTTATTTTATAAAAAAACTGTTTCTGTATTAAAAAATAAAAATACAAAAAAGGTTGGCATTTCAGGATTCTTTATTTCGAAATACCAATTGATTATTAAATCCAGCCAATACCAATTAAGAAGCCGAAAGAGTATATTTTTAGTTGAAAAACAAGAAAAGATAATGAAAGAATTAAAAACCTTTGAGAATTTCAAAATCTATTGAATTTGTAGGAGAGTCAGTCCTAAAAAACCAGGTTAACAAAATTTTTTTTGAGAAATTAGCCTTTTGTATGTTTGAAGAATTGAGTAGGAAATAACAATTTTAATCATTTTAGCTGAATCTAGAAATCATATAATGCTATTATCAAAAAATAATAATGAGATTTAATTAAATAACTGAGTTAATTTCTTTAATAGTGAAAATATAAAAATTATTACTCTCTATTACTTATTTTTACTATAAATTCCTTCTTATATTTTTTAATTAGAATCAATTTTTTTCAAATACAATATTATTTTGAAATAGTAAAATTTATAAGCACTCTTGGTTGAAATTTTTTTTTTTAATTATTAGAAAACATTTTGAAAATTTAAGATCTTCTTATAATATTTATTAATTTTGACAGTAAATCTAATGTGTATATTTATTTCTATAATTGTTTATTTGTATAAGCATGATTTATTCATTAAAAAATTATATATTCTGATAGAACATTAAATGTATTATGAAAAATATTCAATGAATTGAATCAAAATGAATTTTTTATTTTTCTTACTTATCGATTTGGTAGGTTATAAGTAAATAAAAATGTATTTCCGAATGATTTACAAGATATCCTTATAATATTTTTTGTTCTTTATACTTATAATACTTATTTATTTTTAATTGTTTGGTCTTATTTTTAATAAAAAAAGAGTTCAATAAAATATATTGAGACATAAAGAGAGTATGAACATTCTAAATTTAAGAGTATTGTCTAAATATTAATCTAATACTAATGCTTATAATAAAGAAGAACAATAATATACAAGTTATGACACAAATTAGGATAATTCTAATATTATTCTTATTATTTTATTGACCATATTAGGAGGATCAATACTTATTTATGGAATAATTTTAATAATACGATATTTATGCAGACGAAAATAAATGTTTGACCAAGAATAAAACTTATTCAATAATAATATAGAAAAATAAAGTCATACTAAAATCGAATTAATTAGTTAAGGATGTTCTTATGCTTAATAATAAAATTGGCAAATGAGTTTTTCATTATTAAATGTCACATATGTAGTTGAGAATTTGTAAACTGAATTTAAAATTTCTTCATAAAATAATCATTGTATCAATCTCTTCTTTAAAGGACAAGATTTTTTTGGAATTTGGAAAGTTCAAGGACATATTATTAACATAATAGGATCATAATGGAAAATATTTATGATAAAAAAGTATAAGAAATCATTAAAAATTAATCAGATTAGTAGGAAACATCTCATTATTTATGAAGGAGAAGCAGATGGATTGGAAAATGGATTTTAAGGAAAATGGTACTTCGATAGTTTTTAAGAAAATCATAATTGCAATGGAATTTGGTCTTTATAGATCATCTAATTCAGAAATATTTGATTAGATTCTACATTATTTTTTTATAATTTTCCAAATTTAATTAAAATTTTAATATTTACTATTTATCTATTTACTCTTTAAATATTATAAAAGAATATCTAGAAAATATATTAATATATAAAATTTTGTAATTCTTAATAAACTTATTAAAAATACATCAATTTACTTTCTTAATTTATGATAATATCATAGATAATAAAAATTAATTTTTAATTCATAGATACTAATGTTATCATAGAAAAGTTAAAAATATTTATTTCAATTACTTTAATATTTAGTAATTAATAATATTTTTCTTTAAATATATGATTGTATTTAATTATAATTGAAAGAATTTAAAAAGGTCCACTAACTCTTCAATTATAAAGATATCATTTAATAAATTAATTCAACATGTATTTTAAAATAATTATCATAATAGTAATAAAATCAAGTATTTTTAACATTTATCTCCATTTCTATACCTTCTACTGGTAACTGAGTAATGATATCTTCAATAACGAATTTTATATTAATTTTGCAAGGAGTTGTAGGAGGAGTTATTGTGAATTTTACATACATACCTTCATCTTTAGATAATATTAGAGAATTATTCTTTATGGATATTATATGGGGCATATTAGTTTTAATTTAATATGATACTCCTTCTCTTTTTGGGTTAATATATAATAGTCTTCTATTAGTTGTAATACCACTGCCAACTTATAATGAATAATACTAGTTCTTAATATAAATTTTACTTTAATTGGGATATGTTTCCAGGCTTCCAAAAAGAATTACCATTCATCTGATATACTTCCTATTACAATAGGTTCATTGTCATCAACTTATGGGCATAATTACATTTCAAATAGATAATATTAAAAATAAATTATTAGTTTAGAAAATAATGTATAATTATTTTTAATGTTTGGAATATTTAATTTGTATATAATAAGAATAAGAATAATTCTATTTTTAATATTATATTTTTAAATATTTTATAACAACTAATAATTAGATCAGAAAGTATGATAAAATAAAAACTTGAGAAAATAATCATCTTTAATGAATTTCATTCGTTTTTATTATAATTATATCTTGTTTTAAACCTTATTATTTACTTAAATATTTGATTGTCAAATATTGACATCATTTTAATAAAATATATATTTATTTTATTTCTAAATTCTTATTTTTATTGTAGTATTTAAGAAAAGCAGATAAATATTCATTTTATAAGATATATATATACGAATATGAATGATGTATATAAAATATCAATCATAATATCTAAATAGAAAGTTTTAGATATTTCATTTATCGCAAGTCTTTTTGAGCTTATTTAATAAATGTTCTTTCATTGATTTAACAGTATGAGATAATTAATCCAAAAAGAATTATATGGATTAACATTATTCTACTCTCTGTAAAATACTTATGAATTCACTTTTACTCAGAAGTCCACTTTTTTACTATTTTCTTTTACGAATTTTTTTAATAGCTTTGCAAATGCCAATTTCAGATTATTTAGTACCATTATAGTCATAGTTTGAGAAGTTATAATCGAACAAACTTCCATTATTTGAAAAATTGTCAATAATAGATGGTTCAGGACTATGCAATCCAAACAATGATAGGCGCATATTTTGATCAGATTATAGTAAACTATGGTGATCTTCTTTAGTATCGATTTCTTATTCGCACAAAGAGAATATAAAATCGTTGATCTCCATTTAGAATTATAATATATATGTATCAAATATTGTAGCAATATTATTTTAATCAATAAACGTTATATACGTCCGCAAAAATTTAATAACTTTAATTTTCTGATTCGTTTTATTCATCTATACAACCAGTCGTCAAAAGGATCTTATTTATCAATTTTCCATAGTTTTCATTATTTACATTTTTTGCTAATACTTACTTCAAACCATACAATTCAAATAGTTAAAGTACATCCTTATTTTTTATAGTATTAAATAAAAACAATATCATTTTAAGGTTTGCCTATAAATTTATATATAATACTTTTTACATATGTGATTTTCTCACATAATAATTTTATCAAATTATTATCTTCTCTAATTTAACAAAATTCTTCTATCTATTCAATTAAAGTTTCATCATGTAAAATTAATGATTATATATATTATAATATACTATATTCCTAATGTTTAATGAAGGCTCTAAGTAATACAACTATAGGCTAAACATATTATAAATTATAATTACTTATGGCTCAATTTTATTTGAATAATTTTATAATAAAAATATTATCTCAGCAAGAAGAGGTATATATTCTGTATTTTCTAATTTAGAATTTAAAAGCTATTCTTCACAAAAATGAAACACTTTAAACATTTAAGTTTAATAATTAGTATTTTTCTATAAGTAAAATTTCATTGATTTTAATATTTTGTATGTTAATATTTGTCTTTTGCTTCCTCTCCCAATTTAAAATACAGCAAAATAATCATTACTTTCTTCAGAGATCTAATATTGATCTTAATCTGAGTCTTTATTATTATTCTTAATTTCCTAAATTTTCCCTATTTAATCAAACACAACTTTCATTTTCATTGCTCTTTTGTATTTAAACTTTTTCTCCAATAATTCCCTTCTAATTTTATTCCTAAACATTTCTCTTTTCAAAGTAAGAAGAGAAGAATCAGTGATCTAAGTGTTATTCATATTAATTATTTATAATTATTAATATACTCTTAAATGAACAAATTAAGGCAAGTATTATTTCCATATTAAATATACAGCTTTAAATTAAACTTGATCACCTATCTTATTATTTATTATTCAAACTATAACAATTATTATAACATTATATCAACTCTAAAATATATATATAATATTTAGATAAATAACTAAAATTAGATCAAACTCGAGATCCTATTTATTAGATTTATATAAGAAGCTGATGTTTCAACTATCCTAATATATCCTCCAAGTTATCAATCAATATTTTCATCTATTAAAATTGTTAGATTTATAAATTTGGATGGCTTTGTTTGACTTAAGAAAAGAAGTCCCTTGCAGCATTTAAGATTGGATTAGATTGTATTTTAGGTTATTTTCTACTTTTTTTTGTTTTTTTCTCTATTTTTTTGGTCATTTTGAGTATTTTCTTTACAGGTTCAAGTGAATTATTGAGATTATAATCCTCATCTATTGTGTCAGATTAAAACGGTAAGGATAGTATTGAAAAATCCTCTTGTATGTATTTCATTCTAGGAGAAGGACGCCCTAACATTAGAGGAGAAGGGAATATTATCTAATTAGAATACTCATCCCAAGTATTAAGATCTTGATTATATTCATCTGATAATGTATTCTCCATTTATAAAATTAATTATTAAATATCTTATCATTCAATTTAGAATATAAACATCAGTATTCCCGTTAAGAATCATCATAATTAATTAACAAAATTCATTTNAGGCTCTAAGTAATACAACTATAGGCTAAACATATTATAAATTATAATTACTTATGGCTCAATTTTATTTGAATAATTTTATAATAAAAATATTATCTCAGCAAGAAGAGGTATATATTCTGTATTTTCTAATTTAGAATTTAAAAGCTATTCTTCACAAAAATGAAACACTTTAAACATTTAAGTTTAATAATTAGTATTTTTCTATAAGTAAAATTTCATTGATTTTAATATTTTGTATGTTAATATTTGTCTTTTGCTTCCTCTCCCAATTTAAAATACAGCAAAATAATCATTACTTTCTTCAGAGATCTAATATTGATCTTAATCTGAGTCTTTATTATTATTCTTAATTTCCTAAATTTTCCCTATTTAATCAAACACAACTTTCATTTTCATTGCTCTTTTGTATTTAAACTTTTTCTCCAATAATTCCCTTCTAATTTTATTCCTAAACATTTCTCTTTTCAAAGTAAGAAGAGAAGAATCAGTGATCTAAGTGTTATTCATATTAATTATTTATAATTATTAATATACTCTTAAATGAACAAATTAAGGCAAGTATTATTTCCATATTAAATATACAGCTTTAAATTAAACTTGATCACCTATCTTATTATTTATTATTCAAACTATAACAATTATTATAACATTATATCAACTCTAAAATATATATATAATATTTAGATAAATAACTAAAATTAGATCAAACTCGAGATCCTATTTATTAGATTTATATAAGAAGCTGATGTTTCAACTATCCTAATATATCCTCCAAGTTATCAATCAATATTTTCATCTATTAAAATTGTTAGATTTATAAATTTGGATGGCTTTGTTTGACTTAAGAAAAGAAGTCCCTTGCAGCATTTAAGATTGGATTAGATTGTATTTTAGGTTATTTTCTACTTTTTTTTGTTTTTTTCTCTATTTTTTTGGTCATTTTGAGTATTTTCTTTACAGGTTCAAGTGAATTATTGAGATTATAATCCTCATCTATTGTGTCAGATTAAAACGGTAAGGATAGTATTGAAAAATCCTCTTGTATGTATTTCATTCTAGGAGAAGGACGCCCTAACATTAGAGGAGAAGGGAATATTATCTAATTAGAATACTCATCCCAAGTATTAAGATCTTGATTATATTCATCTGATAATGTATTCTCCATTTATAAAATTAATTATTAAATATCTTATCATTCAATTTAGAATATAAACATCAGTATTCCCGTTAAGAATCATCATAATTAATTAACAAAATTCATTTAATAAAAGCATAATCATTTATTGTATTAAATTTTACATAAAAATTATATTTTATTTATAATGAAAACTCGTATATCATAATTTGTTTAATATGTTGTTTTTTATGATTACAAAATTATATATTAATTTTTATTTAAAATAAAAAAGATCAAAATAAAAGAGTCATGTGATATAAAATGTGTTCTGAGAGCGGGTTATTTTATTTAAAATTTATGTCTTCTGCTTGTTAAGATAGTTCGACAAGAGGCATTTTCTAGAAGTATTTATTCTACTCATTTCTTACTTAGGGTAAAAGATAAGAACAATTATGATTAAGTAATTGAGGAGAAAAAGAAAACAGAGATTTGTAAGAACTTTCTTTTCAAGGGTTCATGCAAATATTAAGAGAATGTATATATAATTAAAATTAGTGTTCATTTGCCCATGGAGACAATGAATTAAGAGATAGAGTACCTGCAAATGAAAACTTTAAAACAAAACCATGTAAGAACTATCATAAATTTGGAACTTGTTCCTATGGATTAAGATGTTAATACTTACATTCAGAGATAAAGGACAAGATTAAATGGTGGGGTTACTTATAGAAATAATTTAAAAAGAATATGGTTCCATTTACTTTTCCATGGGATAAGCAAGATAAAACATCATAAATCTAAAGAATAGATATCTTAAGATTTTAAAGAGTATTTAAAGATTATCAAGAGGTAGAATAATAACTATCATATTTTAAAAACCTTTGTGTATGAGACAATTATGTTTTAATAAAATATAAGATATAAATATATGAACAATTTAGGATTCACTTAATCTTTTTAAATTCAGGATTAGTTTTTAAGATGGCCTAATAGAATGTATCTTATAATTTAAATGCTTTGTCTCTTAAATCTTCCATACATTTCTTTAAACACATATTTTGTTTAAGATTATCCTATTGATAGGATTCTTTACATTTTTATTAACATCCTTAATCTTCAATTTCAATCTTATTAAATGATTATTGCAATTAAACTGAATTTGATTACATTCTTTCATCAATTGTGCTAAAACATTTGTAATACAATTCAGGTTATTATGAATTTTATTTGAAACAATTGATTTTCTCATCCAAAGTTTATTTCTATTTGTCAAAAACAATATTACTTAATAAAGATTATAATGTGGACTATATTTATTTCGCAAATCTGTTGTTAAATTCTTGTACATCATCCTAATTTCTGTTTATTAATCGTCCATAATTAAATAATTATATTTATTAAAAACAATATATCATTTATTTTTAATAGGTTCTGTATTAGATGATGTTTGAACATCTGACTTCTCTGGTTCTGCCTCATAAGCCCAAAATTGAGGAAGAGATTTATCAAGATAAGCCTTAATTAAAACACTTAATGTGCATCCTGGAACTAAAAACAATAATGCTGGTTAAGCATGACCTGATAAAATCATAACAGCCAAAGTAGTTACAATACCTATAGCATAACCTACAAAACACCATGAGAAATAAGTAATATTAATTTCAGAAATCTTTTTTACATTTTCAATTTGTCTATCTACATCATATTTAAGACACATTCCAACAAAAATACCTGGTACAACAATATCACCTAAACCTAAAATACTGTATTTTGTAAATGGATTTCCATCATCATCTAAAGCAGTAAATGGAAATTATAATTTAATTGGAGCATCAATAGATTTTGCAACTGTAACCATCACATCAGTTCCATAAACCCAAAAAATATCATAAAAAAAGAGTCCCCATAGCATTAAATATGCAATCTTAATAATAAAATTAAATATACTTTGAAATTTGGAATTACTGTAAAATTTGCAACTCCTGAAACTGTAAATGCAATACCAAACAAATTGTTACAAATCCAATTCTTAGATCCTAAATAAATACCCAAGGGAAGCATTGAAATAAGCAATGATATGAAGTTCAATTTAGTTAATTTAATATCTATATCTTTGCTTGTCAATATAAGATTTAAATTGATCTTTTTATCTATCACTATTTTAGTTGAATATTCAATAGGGAATAATCTTTCAATAGCATCTTCTATGATTCCCATTAAACATAAGACCTTTAATATTTATTTACTTTCATTACTCCTACTGCAGAGAAAAATAAAGTTATGGCTGTCTTAAGAATTGCTTCATCTAAATATTTTAATAAAAGATAGAGTCCAAATAAATATGCAGATAAATATATTGGAAATTATAAAGCATCTTTTTATGTCATTTTATCTTCTTATTATTTCTCTTCCTTTTCTAATTTATTATTTTCTATTTTATATCTTAATGCATACATTTATTCAATTTTATTTTTGATGTTGCCATTGATCCAATATAGAGACAAGCCAAAGATTAAACAACTAATTAAACACCTGCAGGAACCTCTGTAATTAGTGTCAACACATGAATAAACACTAAACTTGCCAAAGACAAATAAACATATTATGGTCTTAAGAAATGTGTTAGAGGTTTGAACTCTTAGGTAGGAGCCATTTTTTTACACGTATTAAAAATAATTTTATTATATGCTTACAAAATAATTCCAATTATTGAGAAGCGTTGCATTCTTTTCAAGAGTCAAAGGAGGTTTGGATAGTGAAATTTATGTTAGGAAATCTCATAAATTCTTACATTCTATTTATAAGAAAGAATCACCAATTGAAAATGCATAATAAATTGTAAAGGATTTTAAATTGACTTTGGGATAAAGGTACTAACATGGATTTGAACCTGAAGAAATGAAAGATGCAAGTCCATTAGTTCAAAAGGCATTTGGACTTAATAATGCTACTGATAGCTAAATTGTAGCGTATCGAATTTAATAAGCAATCAAAAAATATCAAAAATGGCCATTGGATACTGCCAGTGCATTAGTAAAAGCTGCTGTTTTGAATGAGAGAGTTATCTCTTTGATGAATCATATGGAAAAAAATAGATAAGACAAATATTGTGCTTTGACACTTACAAAATTATTAGCAGATAGAAGAAAGGCTATGTATTATTTGAGAACTCATGATTATTAAGGATTTCTATGGTTAGTTTCTGATTATGGTTTGAAAGATCTTAAATATCATAATCATAAATACTTAAGACATAGACATATAGCAGCAACAAAAATTAAAAGATATACAAGAAAAGACACAAATAGGACAAGATGGGCATTATGAAATATATATATATATATATTAGTATATTATTCAAATCAAATAACAATAAAATAATTTTTATATATTTGATAAATTTCATTTAAAATTAATTCTAATATATCCAATTTATTTATTTTATTATCCATTTAATATTCTTTAAAAAAATCAATAGTATAGTTTTAAATAAATTATTGAAATCTTTTTAATATTTTGAAAACTATGAAGATTTCCATTTATTTTATAAAAGAGAATAATATACATATTTTTTTAATATATTAAAAGTGAAGAGTAAAAGATGATAAAACTCTAAGTGGAATTTTGATAGAGATTTTATATAAATTATAATTTTCTTAACTTATTTTATTATATTATCAAAATGACAGAGCCTGCAAATCCAGAAAAGTTATAAAATTAAAGAACTCGAATGATTGGGAACTATGTGATAGGTGATGATTTATAGATTCAGCAGAATAGGAAAAACTCTTGGGTTTGGAACATTTGGGAAAGTGAAGATGGCAATCCATGAATAATCAGGGGAGAAAGTGGCAATTAAAATATTAGAAAAGGATAGAATAGTAGAGACAGCTGATGTGGAGAGAGTTTAGAGAGAGATCCACATTCTAAAATTAGTTCGACATCCTCATATAATTTAATTATATGAAGTATTCATAATAGATTATAAAATGATAGATAATTGAGACTCCAAAACATATATTTTTAGTAATGGAAATGGTGAATGGAGGTGAACTATTTGATTACATAGTGAAAAATACAAAGTAATAAAGTAAATAATTTAGGTTGGAAGAAGTTGAGGCTTGTAAATTATTTTAAGAACTTATAGCAGGAATAGAATATTTACATAAAATTAGAGTTGTACATAGAGATTTGAAACCAGAAAATTTATTACTTGATAAAAGTAAGAATCTAAAAATTGTTGATTTTGGATTATCAAATACATATAAGAATGAAGAATTATTAAAGACTGCATGTGGTAGTCCTTGTTATGCAGCTCCTGAAGTATTATTATAATATAAATGAATAGATGATAGCTGGTTAAAAATATTAAGGATTACGAGTTGATCTTTGGAGTTCAGGAGTGATATTATTTGCTTGTTTATGTGGGTATTTACCATTTGAAGATCAAAATACATCTGCTTTATACAAGAAAATCTTAAGTGGCACATATTAAATGCCATCTCATTTATCGAAAGATGCTTAATCTATGATTACTGGCATTCTAACAGTGGATCCTGAAAAAAGGTTCACTATTGATAATATACATAATCATTCTTGGTTTAATATATATAGAAGATCCTACGAAATTCCACCAGGTATAGTTGTAGGATACAATAGAATTCCAATTGATTAAGATATCTTAAAATAATTAAAATCCTTTGGGATTGATATTGATCATGCTTAAAAATGCTTAGATGCAAATAAACATAATGATATTACAACATTTTATCATTTATTATTAAAAAGACATTTAGCAAATGGAGGTAGATCAACTGCAGATCTCAACTCCGAATCTTTCGATATAAAACTACTTGAACCAAAGCAGAGACCAAATAAAGGTATATTTTATTTATATTTACAGCACCAATTAATTCATTAGTGAATAATGAAATAATTAAATAGTAAATGAGAGAGGAAATAATTAAATAGAGATCATATTCTACTGATAAAGATAGAGGAAGGATAATTAAAACTACAGAATAAAATAATAAAATAATAGCGGATAATGATTAAAGTGTAAATCGTGTAGGAAGAAATGGATAAGCATCAAGTGTTTAAGCTAGATAGAAAGATGAGAATTATTTTGATTAATCTCCAAATATTAAAAAGAACAATAGGATACCAACTACTAATATTTTAAATAATATTTATGGAACAAGAAATAAGAATAGTAACATTACTTCTACTGAATATAGAAATAAAGATGAAGGTAAGAAAGGAAGTTCAAGAAATAAAAAAGAATTAGATATGACTAATCCTCATCGTAATACTAATAAAGAATTTCAATAAATTAATAGAATTCTATAAAGTGGAGGCAGATCATAGAATCATAAAAAAGAGAGAGTTTATGTTACAAATTAGAATAATCAATCTTTTGATGCTCCATAAAATTTAAATTTATCAGCTAAATAGAAAATAAATCATATTTAAAAATTTGGATATTATGAATGAATTCATATATATATTAAATAATTTAATTTTGAAATTTATAAATAAATTTAACCTTTAATATTAAGATACATTAATTTTATAATTCAATTTAGTATCAAGATAAAGTTGTTAATTCTGTTGATATTAGAAATCTCTCCTTCTTTACATCAATTTCTAAACAAAACTCTGAACTATTCATCTAGTCAATCTTAGTAGTTCTCGCAGCAATTTAATAGAAAAATAAAGCATAAATTCCTATTCCACATAACCAAATCAAATAATAATTATAATTAACTAATAGATATTCAATAAAACCTTCAAAAATGAATTAGAAAGTTATACCAGTTGCTAAATATAATTATATTAATACTTAACAAAGCAATAAATGTTGCTGAAATTGAACTTTTAGTATTTTTGTAGATATAAGAATATGCTAATGTTATATTAATCAAATTTAAAAGCCAAACACTTATCAATGATATTTTCAATAATAAATCTCTATATGGAAATATTAACCCTTCCTCATTTGAAAATAAGCATATTATGAAAACACCTGAAATTACTTAAAAATAATAAAATTTTACATACTTATTTCATATATAGAAAAAACTACTATAAGTCGTATTTCTAATATATTAGTCTTAATCATTTTTGTCATATAATAAGGAAGTGCACAAGCAATAGGAAATGCTAAAATCTCAAGAAATTGAATTTATCCTTCTGTAAAAGAGGATCTTTTCATATGTAAATGAGCTAAATCAATAGGCATCTATCCTATTCTAAAAAAACTGAAAAAAAGAAAGAGTATAATTAAATAACGATTTGAAAATGCATTAAATGCTGCTTTATATGACTCAATAATCTAAGATGAATAATAAAAAATACATCTTAATTATTTGCATTTTCATTATAAATGATGAAACAACAAGCTACTGCCAATCCAAATGATATGTATGATAAATCTTGAAATGCAACTTTAAATAGTTAACAATAATATTTATACTTTGTAATGTAATAACTGGAATTTCTTGAGGATTAGTGTAGATATATGTGTTACAAAAATCAAGAGAATTAAACATTGAAAAGATGTAAGCTCCAATAAAACCACCAATAAGAATTCCTAAAAATTAAGCTATTGCTCCATATCCTCTATCTTCTTTTTCTAAACTTTCCACAAGCCTAGCTGCTATGATTAGATCTATAAGTGCTAAAACACAAAAAATCAAAAATAAATTCCAAAACAAAGTTGACTAATTCAAGGTTTAAAAGTTTGAAAAATATAACAATACTCTAACTTATTATTTTTATCAATATACCCAAGAATAGCATATAAAATTGTTAACTAACTTCTTCTTCTGCCAAACCTCTATAAACTTATTGAATCTATCAAAGGGGCAAGTATGTATCTAAATAAATAAGGTAAGAGAATCAAATATGAAAATTTAAAAGTGTTTATTTCTACACCTTTCTCTTTAAGTTCAGATGGAACACTATATAAACTCAATCCTAATAAGATTCCTTGATGACAATAAAGTATTGAAAGTGGCACAAGATTATTTATGAAAACCATTATGTAATAATTTAAATAAAAATACTCATGTATAATATGGATCTTGAGCAGATTTTTTACGAAGAAAGAAATCGCGTGAATAGTCTTTTGGATTTTTTATTTTACTCTAAAAAAATTAATGATCATCTGAATTCTGAAACATTAGGATATAATATATTACTTTGGATAGAGATTTTCTTCTTTTAAAAAAATCATATTGAAAATCTTCTTCTTCAGTATTACTACTTAATTCTGAAGAGGAATGAGTTGCTTATAAATCAAATTATTGTTTAACTTATGATTTCACATCCTTAAAATTTATAATTTATAATTACTTTTTAACATTTGCATTTTCCTTATATCATTTCTAAAGATTTCTTTAAAGCTAATAAAGAATTCTCATTATCAATTTTCTATTTTACTAAAAGTTCTTCCAACCATTCATTTTTTTAAATCAATTATGTAATTTCACTTTAGAATTCTTTTTACATTAGTTTAACTTTATTTTTTAAAACATGTTCTTTTTATTTATATCTATTTAATTCATTTGCTAAAAATCTATTTGAAAGATTGAGTTCTTTAATTTTTTAATCTAATTAAGGATTCTTTTTTATAAGAGGTCTAAAATGAAGTTCTGATTATTTGTGATATTCTATTGCATTTTCTACAAATTTTAAGAAATCAGATTCAATTGATTTAGTTTCTCTTTATATTGATTCTCTCATAAAATCACTATCACTTCTAGAATTGTTCAACTTAAAAAATTAATCAAATAATTTATCTCCTTCTAATTCTTCCAAATCTGTATTTGGAGTACCTTATTTATAATTTTTTTAAAAAGAAGATTTTGCTCTTTGATGTTTTTATGTAACTATAGGATTATGTTATTAAAACATCATTTAATCAAGATTATCTTAACGTAATCCAAATGACTATTAATCATTTGGAGTTCTCATTTGTCTGAGTTCTCTAGAATTGATTAACTTATATTTATACTTGCATAATTGATAGTTTGTTTTCCTGACAGTTAACTAAGTGACATTTTAATTAAAAAATAATAATGAATAAATCACAGATATAATATTGTACTCGTAATCATAAAGCTGGTCAAGAAAGGATTATATCAATTTGCATTAATAAACATTGTTAAATTAGATTAGCATGTAGCTATTGTTATTAAGATTATCATTTAAATCATGTTCAAGATCTTATACCAATAAAAGAATTTGAAAGTTTAGCTTTAAATACTTATAATGAATAGAAGCATTTTGAATTTATTAGTTTAATAGATGAAAAAGCAAAGATTTTGTAAAATTTGAAAAACAAATTACATGATTACATTTCTTAATTGGAAGCAGAATTCAATTAAGATTGTGATAATTTAATATAGAGTTTTGTTTATATTTAAAATACACTACTTAAATTATGTCATTGTCATTAACATTCTATTAAAGAGGAAGAATTGTTGACTGTCATTAATAGATATAGTAATGTTGAATATAATTCAATTAAGTAATCTATTATGGCACAATTGAATAGACCAATAGAATGTATAATGAAATTACATGATATTGTTAATAAAGAATGTAAAATGATATAAAGAAAGAAATTTATAAATTCTTATATATAGGAGAAAGCATTATAAAACTTTTATTAAGAAAATGTATTAGATTATAAAATGGCACCTAAGAAGCATTCATTAATAAGAGGAACTATGTTTACAAAAGAATTTATGGAATTAGAAAATAAAAATAAATATTATTATGGTGAGATACATAAAGGAATACCTTATGGTTAAGGTTTATTGATTGAAATAGATGATTAAAAGATAGAGGAAGGAATATGGATTGATGGACATTTATCTTGGGGATAAAGATCAATTTAATTAAAAGGTGTACCTTCAATAGTATGTGGTGAAATGATTGATGGAGTAATAAATGGTTTAGGCAAATTGATATGCAAAGATGGTGATTCGTAATTAAAATTAAGTTATATCTAATAGTTATACAGGAGAATGGATAAATGGATAAAAACATGGAATGGGAATATATAAGTATGCAAATGGTGACATGTATAAAGGAGAATTTAAATATGATTTAAAGGATGGATAAGGTACATATAAAGCTTATAATGGTGATATTTACATTGGTTAATTTGAAAAAGGGATTAAAAATGGAGATGGCAAATATATATCTAAAAATGAAGATACTTATATTGGAAAATTTAAGGATGACAAAATAGATGGAGATGGTACATATAAATATCATGATGGGAAAATGTATAATCAAATATAATTTTGGTTAGTCAATAAGGAATGCATAAGAATGGTCATCCAATTGGTGTACATATGATATATAAAAATGACTTACATCATCCAATTTAATAGATTACGTATGATGATAATGGAAAAGTGATTGAAACAATAAATTTATAAAATAAATGAAATTCCTAATATTAGCAATCTCTCTCATTATAGTCAATAGTGGTAGATTAACTGCAGACATTTATGTTGAATCTCTTTGTCCTTATTGCATGATGTTTATTAAAGATTCACTTTATACAGCAATTACAACTCCAAATATTGAATAAATGGTTCACATAAGATTAATTCCTTATGGAAATACTAAGAGAAAGATTGTAGATGGAAAATGGGTATTCACATGTCAACATGGTGAAGCTGAATGTTATGGAGATTTAATTGAATTATGTGCTTAAGATAGTATAGTCAAAGCTTTGGGAGCTGTAGCAGCAGAAATTCCAAAAGCAGGAGTTGTCCATTGCATTGAAAATTATATTTAAAAGCCTTATACAAATAATTCATTTGTTTAAGCTGCATTACATTGTTAATAATTCTATCCTTATGAAGCTAATGATGTAATCAATTGTGCTAGTGTATTATATTAATTAAATAATTAGAATTCTTATGGAGAATTGTTACATTTAATTGCTGCAGATGAAACTGATAATCTAGTACCTAAACATAAGGGAGTTCCATGGGCAGTAGCTAATAAATAATTTACTGAAGAAACTGGAGATGAAATCATCAATAATTTATTAAGATGGGCATGTTAAAATTATGATGGAGAAAAAATCGAAGCTTGTTATACTTAATAAGAATGATTTAATTTAAGTTATAGAATAACATAACCTAAACTAATTCTCATTTAATATCTAATAATCTTCTTTGATTTTATACACTAATTGTATTAATAACTACATTGATCTTTATTATAAAATAAATGAAAATGATAGTTAGATTACATATAACAATATTTAATGATTATATTATTATATAAATATCAGCCATTTCGTATTGTATTCAGTTCGGCCTTAAGAGATAAAGATAGTAATTGAGAAATTGCAGCTTCTAACACAAGTTCTAAATATAAACATATTTATACCTCCTTCTGAATCAGCAAGAGTTGATGATTAATGTAATCCATATACATTATTTAATCTTAAGGCAGTCAATGTTGAACACAATCTATATTAGCTATTTACGGATTAATTAACTCTAAAAATTATGCTATTGTGTTTTACAATCTAATGGCAATCTTAATTTATTGAGTTTTAACTGTTGAAAAGCAAACAAATTATTTTGCAAAAGCAAAGAATCCCCGCATGTTAAATTTAATTATTTAAATAAAATTAATGTTAAACATTAAACAAATGTATAATATTTACTTTTACCATTAAGATTATCTATATATGAAATTATTATTTATTAACTTAGAGATCTAATTACAGATTTCTATTTATTTTATAACAATTTTATACTAATTGAACTAACAAAAATTCAATTAAGAATTCTACTGAAAATATTCAATTAAAAAATACTCAATCTGTTTGATGATAGAGTATGTTATTCTTATAAATAATATATCCTATTATATATATAGTAGACTATTTATTATTCTAGTAATTATATTTTAGATTACTTCAATCAGAATTCTACTTATTATTATTGATAATCACAGAAATATATTATATTAATAAAATATATGATACATTTACCTACAATAGATTTGATTTCTATTCCTAAATCTAATGAAAATGAAAAAAATGAAGCCTCTTTTGATTTTAGAAGATTTAAGCTCAAAAAGATTACAAAAATGAACCATTCACTTTAAATTAAGTTAAATATAGTCAACAAAGATTCAAACGCCAAAAATTAAGTGGCATTTGGATCTTCTTAGGAAAGGAGAAAGCCTTCAGGAAAAAAATTTCCTCCATTATAATATGATTTAAATTTTAAGTCTGTTGATAGGCATCAAGCATCTCCAAAACTAAGGACAATAAGAAGTACCAGAATAAAATCTGAAGTCTCATAATAATATTGTGAACGATTTCCATATTCATTTCTTAAAACTGAAACCATAGAATAAACTATCTAACCAACTAAATTAAATTGTCTATAAAAATTGATAAAGAAAGTGAGAAGTCCAAAAATTGAATTATAATCTAATATTATGCTTAAATAAGATGAATTCATACCCATGAGTTCAAAGGAACTTAAAGAAAGCTTAATATCTTTAATGTAAAATATTTTTAAATTTTAGGCACAAGTATGGCATAAGATAAAATGAGATTAGAAAATGATTTATATTGTTAATTTGTATATATTGAGTATTTAATTATTCAATTAATTTTATGGATTATATTTGGATAGCATATAATGTATTTATAAGAATTGAGATCTGCACAATATCAACTTAAGAATTATAAATTTTAAACATTTACTTTATTAATTATTTATGTTAGTTTATATTTATTTAAAATATAAATAATAATCAAGAAACTAATTATAGTATTCAAATTATTAATACCTTTTATGATGCTATATAAAAATATCTAATTAGTTTTAATAGATTATTAAATACTATTATATTGATTATGTCTATTATTTATATTTATTTTTAAGAAAACTCATTTAGCTAAATTTAAATCATTTTATATAAAAACTATGTATATATACTCTTTAATATGTACATTAATTCTATTTCCTTCTTAAGATCCCAAAGAACTTATTTAAATTTTTATCTTTTTTTAATAAATTTTAAAGCTTTTTGATTCAAATGAACTTTAAAGAATATGATGTTTAAACACCACGTCAGCTTTCGTTTAAAAGATTCTATATAAAAAAGGTGGTAATTAATAGAAAACCATAATTTATGGGAAATTAAAGCAAGGACAAACCAAAAATTGCATTTGGAAGCAACTTAAAATCTGTTAATAAAGAAAGGTTTGAATTACCAACTTTATTTTATGATAAAAAGTACACATGCATTGATAAACATTCTGGAGTACCATCAATATTAAGTACAAGAAATAGTAGGATCAAAAGTGAATATGACGCAAATGAAAAAATCAACAAACTTAAAAAATTAGACGAGTTTTCAAATTCTAAAAGTCTATCACTATCATTCTAACCAAAATAATATAATTAAAAAAAAAGAGAACCAATCCATTCAGATCCACTCAATTATTTGAATAAACTTCTTCCAATGACTGTAAGGTAGCTTAAAGAGAGCTTCATAATGTTATTGTAAGTATTATTTTTAAGAAAGGAATAAACACTAATCAAACAAAATAAATTTAGAACCAAAATGAAAAAATATCTTACATTGCATTAAAATAAATATACTTAATTAATATTAAGAATTGTTTTAATAATTATAATTATTTAAAAATTCAAATTTTAGATAATATATACTAATAATGATAATTTATGATATAGTAAAATATAGTTCAATATCATATCATTTTTTCTTTTGTTATTTCTTATAGTCTTCTATTTTCTTAGTTTAAGAGTTCTACTTTTTCTTCTAGATTCTTCATTTTAATTTAATCTAAATCAATAATTTGGGTCATATATTTGATCTAAGATTGTAATTCAAGCTAGAGTTTTTGATCCTTTTAACTGATAAATATAATTTATACTTAAATTTAGGATTATCAACATTTTTATTTAGCAATTGTTGTTGCAATGTAGAGTTTTCACTTTATAAATATTCAATTGTACTTTTTAATTATTAGTTTTCTAAATATAATTTCTTTCCTTTCTTTTATAAATCAGTAATTCTTTTTTCTTCTCTTGTAATAAAAATGATTATTACTAAAATTATTTAACTTTATTTTATAATAAATAGCATTTTGTTTTGTATTTGTCAAGTTCAATTTAATCATATTGCTCTTTATTTTATAATAATACTTAATTTTCATTTTATAAACGAACAATTTATTTTTCAAGTTCTTAAATTTATGATTGATATTATATTTCTGATAATTATGATTTCTATATATTTGTTTAATTAATCTTACATTATATAATTTTTCATTTTCCATATACTTTTATATAATTTCACTTAATTTATTATTTTCATTAATTTAATGTGAATTCATCTTTTCTAATTGTGTAATTCTCTACTTTAAAAAAGTTATTTCATCTTTTTTTATTGTAGAAGTAACATTTAAAGTATTTTCTTTTTCTCTTGTTGTTTAATGTTATTGTGTGACATTCTTTCTGCATTACATGAAATAGTTTTAAACTTCCCCTGATGTATTGAATTATTTTGAACAATTCACTCCCATCATAGATTATGAAGCAGATCTCTATTAGGAAATAGGTTATGCTTGAAATACAACAGGTCTTAGTTTCTCATAAATAGAAGTCATATAAAATCTAACGTATTTATTTATAATAATTAATTAAATTATACTTCAATCAACTTTGATATATTTAGCATTCATTACTGCAGGCAGTATTTCTTTATTAACTATAAAATCAGGATCTCGATGTAAATACAAAAGTTATGTATCCATAATCACTGGAAAAACATGTTCCATTTTTTATATGCTTTTTTAGTACGCATCTTTTGGTCTTGAAATAGTTGCAATATCAATTTCTTTTGATGTGCAGAGCCCATAAATACTAGGATGTTAAATTAATACTTTCCTACCGCAAGGTAATAAATCAATTGATCTATTCAATATTTAATTATGATATACATTAATAGTCTTTGATATTGACTTGTTACAGATCTCATTGAACGAATAGTTATACCTAAAAGACCCAAATAGAAAAGAATTCCAATAAATCTTCTATCTTAATAATTGTATAGTTTTTTAGCACTATAATAGGTGAGAAACCCTCCTAAGGCAGATATTAAAACATAATAATTTCTGAATCTATTAAAAATCTAACTTTAATAAAGAGAGCATCTACCCTAAATAATAATTAAATATAAATTATACATTTTAGAAATTTAATGGATTTTTTGGATGATATAATAATTCTGTATCAGACCAAATATCTTTGGATTGTTAAGTACAATTATAGATAATTTTAGAAATGTTTCTTAATGTTTTTGAGAACATTAATTAAGATTATTTCTTCCTTAAATTAAAATTTATATATTAATTTATGATAAAACTTAATCCACTTATATAATACTTTTTATTTGATGAATTAATTAAATCAATAATTATATATAAAAAATGTCAAGTCTTAAGTCTTCAATTACAGTAGGTTTATTTTAGTCTTTAAGTTTTTGTGGTTTAAGATAAAAAATCTTAAAAAATATAGCGTTTTAACCACCAAAAGTGAGTTATTCTCTAAAACCGAGATAAGATGATTAGATGACAAAGAGTACCTAAACAAATCCTTCATCATTATAAGTTATTGATTCAGAACACTAGAAACGATAGAAATCTAAATCTTATGATGATGAAAATATTCATTAATCAGGTTTGTTAGATTTAGCTGAGGAGATCATGTAGTTTACAAGTGAATCTTTAAGTCCAATGAGAGAAAAGTAAAGATAATTATAAAGAATAGAATATCTGAACCTGCTTATGACTTCTATTTGATTGACGGATAAGGTTAAGAAATTTCAATTCCAAAATAAGAGAATTTAGAATTGACTGGATATTTCTTAAAAGGAAGAAAGGCACATCGAATTGCATCCTTATATTTAAAGTACTTATTTCCAACTAGTGATTATGTGATATTGTTCAGTCATGGAAATGCAAGCGATTTGGGTTACATGATTGATACATTAATTGGTAATAATTATAATTGAATTGTTAAAGATCTTTGTAACAATTTAAGAATAAATATATTTGCTTATGAATATTCAGGCTATGGACTTTCATAAGGGAAATGTACAGATCTCAATATCATTAATAATATTTAAGTAGCATATGACTTTTTAGTTTCATAACTGAATTTTGAACCAACAAAAATAATTGTTTATGGTTATAGTATTGGATCAGGACCAAGTGTCATGTTAGTATCTGATATTCATTTTCCTGTTGGTGGTTTAGTAGTTCATTCAGGTTTGAGTTCAGGGTTGAGAGTTGTTAATAGTAAATTAAAATCAACTCCTTTTTATGATATTTTTCCAAATGTTGATAGAATAAAGGATGTCACATGTCCTGTATTTATAATGCATGGGAAAGAGGATGAGATTATTGATTTACATCATGCTACATTATTGTCTAATAATTGTTAAAGATTGTATGAATATTGGGAAGTTGAAAATATTGGACATTAAGGAATTGATACAAATGATGAGCATCGTAAAAGTTATTTTTATAAATTAAGGGATTTCATAAAATGTATATTTTATAATTTATATTATCAGTAATACAATAAGAAAATTAAACAATTAAGTAATTAAAATAAAGAAATACTGCAAGTCCTAAATAATATGGTTAAAATCATCATTATTATGATAATAAAATAAGAGAATTCCAATTAAGTTGTAGAAAGGTAGAAGATTCAGAATAATTTCTTTAAAAGTTTCGTTGATTTTTTTGTTAAAATGAAAATTTTGAATTTAATTTAAATTTATTTTGTTTATGAATTAATTAAACATTAATCTTAAATTTAATAAATTAATTAATATATATTATTTGTTCAATATTTATGATGACTTGAATCTCTAGTTTTATTTGGTACTTTTGAAAATGTGATAGGATTAGTATGTTAATTATAATAATTTTATTATTTGTATCTATTTTGATTCATTAACTTAATTTAGTTAGTATCATAAGCATCTACAGATATATTCATTTTATTAGTTGAAATAGACCTTTCAATAAAGGCTGATCTCTATGTTTATAACACTTATTAAAATCTTTATTAAACATTGGTAATTTTTTATTTTGGAGAAATTGATATTATTCTATTATCTAAAATTATATTATTTTTACCATCAAAAGTTGATGATCTCTCTTTATTATTGAAACTATTTAAATCAATTAATTTTATTGGAATAGGATGATCTTTAAATATTATTTTTTATTTGATTCTTTAACCAACACTTTATAATTGTTGATTTAACCAACACATCACTTTATCAACCAAAACAAAATCTCTAGTTTCATTGTGATCCTGATTGGTATAATAGATTTACTTGATTCCTTAGTAATTATTAAATAATTTCTCTGTTTACTCATTTGAAACTACTGAATCTATAGTTGAAGTAATAAAAAATGCTGGTATTTTTATAACCTTTATATTATTTAAACTAGTAATATTTTTAACTTATATTATTACCAATTTATCTCATTCAGAGTAAAACCACATTGATTTTTTATCTCATCTGAAACATACGAGGATAAAGAGTTCAAAATGAAATTTGGAATTTTAGTTTTTTTGGAAGCCATCTACACTACAATCTCAAATAGGATAATTTGAATACATCTTACAAACAAATAAAGGGACTATCAAGAACCAAGCATTTTACAAAAACATTTTGAAATTACTGCATATATAACAAAGCAACTACAGAACCCATTGATCTTCCCCATAATACTATTGCTTTAGCATATTGACTAATATGTGTGATGACAGTTTATAAATCATAAATTTCTCTATAACCATATGTAACTTGATCCCCATCTGATATACCACTCCCAGTAAAATCAAAAGTAAGAAACATATAATTTTAATTCAAGATCTCATGAACATATCTTAAGGCCTCTAATCTACATCCATTGGCTGAATGTAAATATATGATACAAATATCACTTTAAACATTACCTTAAAATAGTGATACTTTTATCCTTTGTTGACAATGATTTACTAAATCAAAATCATTTCTAGTGTATGTTTAATCTTAAATAGGTCCTAAATGATCAATTGAATCTAATAAATACCCAAATCATATTGTTGATATTCAGCTCTCAGAGGCCGAATGATTTAGGCACAAATTTAGTTAATTCCATTTTGAAAATATTTCATTAATATTATTATACTGTTAAATAATGATATCATAACAATCTCATAAAAAGCAACCTTAATTCTAAAAGTCACAAATAACTTCAAACTTGTTTTTTTGAAGGGAATCTTATAGAAATTACCTATGCATACCTCATAATAAAAATACATGAAAAAATAGAATCAATTAGAAATAAAATTACACTACTCTGAATTACAGTTAAATTAATTAATTGGATCTCTCCATTATTATTTAATTTCTTAAAATAATTAATAATCACTTACTTCTTGTACTACTATTGTAGCCTAAAATATTATTAACCAAACTATTTATGTCTTTTTATAAATATCTAATTCTTTATGAAATAAAGCCAAGAAATAACTCAATAAACTTAATATCATATTTAGATGCAGATGATCCTTATATAATTTGGATTAATTGCATAGTTATGAGATTGATAAAGAAATACAGAAGAAACTTCTAGCTTTTCCTTCAGTTATTAAAGATAGAAAAGCTAAGAATCTAATAGAGTGATTGTTAAGTAAAACTTCTGAATTGAGACTTGGCTCATCATATGCCAGCTTGAAAAATAATGCCTTTTTTGAAAGATTTGATTATGTAAATATATTATTAATAATATTAGGATAATCTTATAAATAGAGAATTGAAACCTCCGTATTTACCACCTAAAATTAAATTGCATATTGAAAAAGACATATAGAAATCAATATAGGTTGGAAAATTGATATTTGAAGAAATAAAAGTATTGAATTAATAAAAAATACAATGATCCTGCTACTACTTTAAATTATAATAGACCAGAAAAAGCACGTGATCCAAATTGGGACAAAGAATATTGATATTCGTATTATCTTTCAAATAATAATTTATAAACTTTGAATAATTTAGTTTAATAATATAATATAATATCAATTGTTCCATTTAAGTAGTTTTCCATCGACCCATTCTCCTTCTTTTAAAATTCTGTTAGTTCCTCTGTATTAACCTTTTCCGTGTTATTTACCATCTTTCCAATACCCTTTATAAACTCTTCCATCTGGCCAAAAAAATTCTCCATAGCCTTCCTTTTTATCATTCACATAACCACCAACATAGCGTCTATGAAGTATACTTTATATAAAATTACCTTCCATCTGACCAACTAAAAACTCCATGGCCATCCATTTAATTATCCTTCCAATCTCCTTCATATTCTCTATTATCTGCCCAAATGTAATGTCCTTTACCATGTATATTATTATTAATGAATTCTCCAACGTATGAACTACCATCTGGCCAACTGAATTTTCCATGTCCATGTTTCATTCCATTAGTATAAGTACCTTCAAACATAGAACCATCTGCCCACTTTTCTAATCCATTACCATGTTATTAGTCTTCATACCATTCACCTTTATAAAATGCTCCATCTTTATGACTATACACACCAAAACCATGAGCTTTGTCATTTAACCATTTTCCTTCATAGAGATCTCCATCTGAATGAATTAGTCTTCCTTCACCATTTGCTTTGTCTTGTAACCAATATCCTTCATAAATTGAACCATCTGCCCAAAATTATTTTCCTCTTCCATGTCTGAATCCATTTTTCCATTATCCATAGTAAAAGACACTTGGTTCTATTTCTACTGGTCCATAGAAAGGTAATGATTTAAATTCAAACGGTTCATTTTGATCGTAATTAAATGGTTATAACTAATCAATTAAAGGCTTAGTAAAAGCATTGGTAAAATCAGGAATTGAATCCAATTTCTTTAAGTCTTATCTACAATTATTATATTATTAATAACCTAATATGTTATTATACTATGAAACTAGCATTCTGAGATTTAACAGTACTCTATGATAATTTACTTTTCTAAGTAAGTTATTGAACATTTTCTTGATCTTCAAAGTTTGGTTTGTTCTTGAAAGGTCTCATTTATTCTCCTGCGTGTTCATAAATAGATGGATCATCACATGTAGCACAATTTCCCATAGAAATTAAAAATAACAGCAAAAATTTATTAATTAAAATAGTATGAGTACTGAAATAGATATAAATAAGCTGAAAGCAGAAATAAAAAATGACAAATAATGAAGATTAATACTATTTGGGATATTTACTACTGGATTGATAGGTCTATATTTTCTAGTGCATTTCTCTCCACATTTAACTTAGTAAATAGATTCATTTATTAATAGAGAAGAAAGAAAAATTGTTTATAGAATACCAAAATACCCTCATCATATTGCAGAGTTATTAAATGTTACTAATAGATACACAGAAAATAATTAATTCTATGTTTTATTTGCATTCATCTACTTTTATATTTTTATGCAAAGTTTTGCAATCCCAGGACCTGTATTTTTAAGTTTATTATCTGGTAATAGAATTATTTAATTACAAAAAGGATGATTGTTTGGTCCAATACCAGCATTTCTATTGGTTTGTTTGTGTGCTACAACTGGTGCTAGTTTATGTTATGGATAATCCTATTCATTAGCAAGATGACTAGTGCTTAATAGGTTTCCAAAATTAAATTGTGAATTTCAACAAAAAGATTCATAAGAATAGAGATAATCTATTTTTTTGTATGTTATTTTTGAGATTAACTCCATTAATTCCTAATGTTTCAATTAATGTATCTGGCCCTATAGTTGGTCTTCCGTTTAAATATTTCTTTTTTGGTACTTTATTTGGTAATTTATCATATTAAAAAAACTTATAATAGGATTAATGCTAGGAAATACTATTCATATTAGAACAGGATTATTGATTTAAGAACTTAATGATTTCTCTACAAGTTATTAAGTAAGTTATTCAATACATTAATTCACAAGGCTTTATTGACTCTAATAGGATTGTCTTTAGTTGCTCTTTTACAAACATTATTTAAAAAGAAATTATAAGAATTAGATGAGAAAGGATTAAACAAATCTAAAAATGAATAACTATCTGTATAATATACACAATAATCTATTGATTTCATTTTAAAGTTTAAATGAATGAGCTCACAATTTTTATAAATTCCTGTGGTTATTCTGAATGAACCCAATGACCACAATCTTTAATGAAATGTGCCTCTTTGAAATTGGGGAAAACCATACTCATTTAATGAACAGTCTCTCTATTTACGTATTGAGATTTATCACCACAGATTACACAATGAGGACCTTTCCAATTGGCTGTTATATCTGTTAAAATGTTGGTTTAAAAATCATTTAATATTCCTTATAAATTAACTCTCCATTTAAAATCGTATTTAATATCCTCTAATTAGTATATACTTTATAATAATACTTCTCATTATAGTCTATTATGATTAGAAATTTGTCATTAATAATTAAGCTATTGCTTTATTTTAAGAGGCTTCAAAAACCTTTTCTTATAATTCATTGTAAGTTATTTGATTTAAGTTTATTTTGATTAATTTTTTCAATAATTCATAAACAAAAGTTGATTGAACAGCCTTTGGTAAAATATCTACAATTATTACTCCTTTCACTTTTTATTGTACTTCTTTTTCATATTATTATAAATATTTAAAAATTACTCTGCCACCCAAAGAATGTCCTAATAACACTATATCATTTAATTCTTTAACATATTCTGATAAATCTAAGGCCATTTCCCCTAAAGTCATAGACTGATGATGTGGAGATTCTCCATGATTTCTCAAATCTAATAAATGTGTTGAATTGAGATGATTTGTCAATAAAGGAGATGAAGAGACTGTCTTAAAATTGTTTTTAGATCCCATTAATCCATGTAATATTACCAAATTTAAGTTTGAATTGTGGTAAAATTTCTTTATAGATGATTATACTATAGAGGCCATTATTTATAAATTATAATATAAATTAATTCAATTACAAATTCATAATTTATATTATTTATTAATAAGAATAATTATTTTATTGAAGAATGATCTTTTGCTATCAAATAGAACAAAAACAAACTATATTTATTATTTAATATAACTTAATCTTTGAATAAAATTAGATTCTAATTATTAAGTATATACTAATCAAAGAGTTTGTAAATTCTAATATTCTATAATTTTCTCTTTTAGTATATTTATCATATATTTAAAATAAGGTTTTCATTTACATATAATTGATTCATAAATAAATAATAATGTTAAATTAAACATTAAATGACGCTTAAATAGTGGCTGGAATTGATAACTTAAAACAGAAAGTATTTTGTTAATATCTATTTTTTAAGAATCATTGTGTATTTAATTATGAACTCTATAATAATTGTGAAAAACCACTGTTGTTGATGTGCAACCAATATTTGGCTGTTGATTATAAATTAAAATGGAAAGTATTTTTAAGTTATGTACACACTTTAGGTAATAAAATTACATATTTATTAGGGTTGAAGGTGGATCAATAATTTTATATGAATTTACAAAAAATTTATGAGTAAATTTTTACTCATTGTTATGAAGAAGATATTATTGAATTATAGTCTGAATTTGGTAAACCTGTTGAAGGTTATCAAGATAATCAATTATAAGAGCTTTTCTTCATGTTTTCAAAATGTTCACCTTTTAATAATGATGCTAAAACTGGAAGATTTCTTAAAATTGGTGCTTAATTGTAGCCAGAAAATTTAGATGATAGATCCACCGTTGTTGCTGTTCAATTATTCCGAAAATTTTATCTCTAATATGGTGATTATAACTTTAAAGTAAAGAACAATATAAATTTCAGCAACCAAACCCATTTCATATCATTAAAAACAGCAACAATATACATTATGACACTACAGTTTTTAGGGAGAAGATAGTCAATATATTGATAAAGAATGAAGACTTTTTAAATTACATAGAATAACACACCTCTCTATTTTAGAATCAAACCTTTTTTGATTAACAAAAGAAGTTAGAACTTCAAAAAGAGAGTTTGATGAAGTTTCTCTATGAAAATACAGATTTAAATCATTTTATAATTATGGTATATGATTTATTGAACAAAGTAACAGAAGGAGAATTCAATTCAACACTTATACTAAAACACATTTCATTATAAATTTTAGATCCATTTATACATCCACTTGCATTATCAATATGCGATTTTTATGAATAAATTTTAGAAGAATATGAAGGGACAGAGGATGTCACATAATTGAAAGAAAAGTATCTGCCAAAAATAACATTTTTGAATATGGATGGATATGATTCTGAATTCAATTATAAATTATTGGATAATTATTCAAATTCTTGCCAATATATATCAGTATTGGATGAAATGTTGGATTGTGATGATAAATCTTAAATGTTTGATTTGGTAACTAAAGATAAGAGTTGCTTTATGTAAGCTAAAAACTCTTATATTATTCCAATTAGATAATGTCATAAATAAAAATAGTTAAATGATATGCATTTTAGGCACATCTTAGATCTACTTGTTTATCCATTAATAAAATCATTCTAGCCTTAGGTTATTATTTTTAGTTATTCATTTGCATATTTTAATCAAGAATCTGATATTCAATTATCTTCTAAGTTATTTATAGAAATCACAACTCATCTATCATTAATTAGTAATTATAAGGTAATTTTTCTACCTAGAATTTTATCATCTGGAGTTTAAATTTAAGATCATAGATTTGAAATTGAACTCTTAAAAACTGACCATAAAAATATTGTATATTATTTGAATATTTATTCAACTCATATTTAGTAAAGTTTTAAGTTTTTACATCCATCTAATTAATAACATTGTGAATTATCACATTATGCAAATAATGCTATGAAAATAGTTAAAAGCAATAGTTTTTATGAAAAAAAAAAGTAAGGCAACATTATACACTATTATTTAAATAAAGAAAAAGAAAGATATATGTTTGAAATATTATCAGGCTTTCTTGAATCCTGTAGAAGTAATTATAATTTTAGTTATTTTTAGAATCCTACTTATAAGAAGTTAAGGATAAGGATAAACGTATGTAAGATCCAAATCTTTAATGCTAGGATTTGCTAGAATATAAGTTATCATATGTTAAACTTTTAGATAAATTATTTCAATTCCACGAAAAACATTTTTTCAGTAATTTGTTTAAATCAACTTAATAATAAATACATACATATAAATTATTGTTTTAATAACATTAAAAGACTTAAAGAAGAGAGGATTCTTAATTTGTTTCCTTTTTAGCATAAGATTTAAAAGATTATATTTATGTAATAGATAATTTTGTTAATAGTAAATATAAAATATTTATAATAGATGAACCTTAATTATTATAAATAAATTTAAGAAAATTATAATCTCCAGTCTATATACACAATAGATTAACTTAGTACTTTGTAAATTATAAATTGAAAAGTATACTTTTTATAAATGTTTTATCATTTATTGATATCAGATATATTGGAATTGTAAGATGTTATTAAAAGCTAATAGATTCAAATAGGATTCATACTAAGTATGTTTGGTGAATTATGAAAAATATCTTAATCCTGTTTAAAAAATTAATTAAATTTGGGCAGAAATACAAGTTATCCATGAAACCACTGAGTAACCTGTATTTTTTAGATCTTTGTGTTTTGATAAATAAAAGAATAATATTTATTGCATTTATGGCAAAGAGGCTAAAAATAACACATTATGGGATTCGATTGATATATTCAATTTTGAAAAAGTATCAAAATAAATATAAATTTAGCAAACATTTACAACCATTTATAGAGACAAAAATACAAAAAAAGAGAGTGATACTTATTTTGCTAGAGCATATGCTTCATCTGTTGTATTCCCAATTATTCAATAAATAAAAAATTATTCTGAAGTATGGACTTTTGGAGGATCATTCTTGTATGTATATTAAATAAAGTTAGAGGGCATTATAATCAAGAATTCTAGAATATGGGATTTTGCAACCTAGTAGAAAGAATATTTATAAGTGAAGGGTCTTATCGATCTGAAAAAATCAATAAGGAATAAATTATTCCATTGTCTATGAGACCTATGTATGGATCTTTGATGTTAAGTGTATAGTAAAATATTTTATTTAAATTTATAGAGACAATGATGAATCTGCTATTTTGATAATTGGAGGATCTTAAAATGAATTGCTTGTAAATATTGAATAATAAGAATATATTGGATATAAATTTCAACAGATTGATAATCATTATTATGTGAGTGCTATCACTAATCTTGGATAGAAGATTAATCCCATAAGTTTCTATTCACAAAATTAAAANGATCCAAATCTTTAATGCTAGGATTTGCTAGAATATAAGTTATCATATGTTAAACTTTTAGATAAATTATTTCAATTCCACGAAAAACATTTTTTCAGTAATTTGTTTAAATCAACTTAATAATAAATACATACATATAAATTATTGTTTTAATAACATTAAAAGACTTAAAGAAGAGAGGATTCTTAATTTGTTTCCTTTTTAGCATAAGATTTAAAAGATTATATTTATGTAATAGATAATTTTGTTAATAGTAAATATAAAATATTTATAATAGATGAACCTTAATTATTATAAATAAATTTAAGAAAATTATAATCTCCAGTCTATATACACAATAGATTAACTTAGTACTTTGTAAATTATAAATTGAAAAGTATACTTTTTATAAATGTTTTATCATTTATTGATATCAGATATATTGGAATTGTAAGATGTTATTAAAAGCTAATAGATTCAAATAGGATTCATACTAAGTATGTTTGGTGAATTATGAAAAATATCTTAATCCTGTTTAAAAAATTAATTAAATTTGGGCAGAAATACAAGTTATCCATGAAACCACTGAGTAACCTGTATTTTTTAGATCTTTGTGTTTTGATAAATAAAAGAATAATATTTATTGCATTTATGGCAAAGAGGCTAAAAATAACACATTATGGGATTCGATTGATATATTCAATTTTGAAAAAGTATCAAAATAAATATAAATTTAGCAAACATTTACAACCATTTATAGAGACAAAAATACAAAAAAAGAGAGTGATACTTATTTTGCTAGAGCATATGCTTCATCTGTTGTATTCCCAATTATTCAATAAATAAAAAATTATTCTGAAGTATGGACTTTTGGAGGATCATTCTTGTATGTATATTAAATAAAGTTAGAGGGCATTATAATCAAGAATTCTAGAATATGGGATTTTGCAACCTAGTAGAAAGAATATTTATAAGTGAAGGGTCTTATCGATCTGAAAAAATCAATAAGGAATAAATTATTCCATTGTCTATGAGACCTATGTATGGATCTTTGATGTTAAGTGTATAGTAAAATATTTTATTTAAATTTATAGAGACAATGATGAATCTGCTATTTTGATAATTGGAGGATCTTAAAATGAATTGCTTGTAAATATTGAATAATAAGAATATATTGGATATAAATTTCAACAGATTGATAATCATTATTATGTGAGTGCTATCACTAATCTTGGATAGAAGATTAATCCCATAAGTTTCTATTCACAAAATTAAAATATTTATTCTGATTAAGATAAGATTTATATTTTAAATGATGCCACTCAAATATTAGGAAAACCATATAGGTTCAATAATTAAACAAACGAATTAGAAGAAACTGATCCCTTTTCTCCTTATGGTATATTAAGCTTAACTACCCTTAAGATTTCAAATAATTTAACATCGTAGGAGTTTTTTTAGAAAAGGAGAATATCTATAATAGGTATTGATGCTAAGAATGACATATTGAATGCCACTTAAGTTATATAGCCTTTTGCTCAAATGCATAAGGCAATGAAATTCTTATATAAGGAATAAGATAATATGAATTATTAAGCAAGAATAATTTTTTAAGATAATAATGAAATAGTAGGATTAATTAAAAATTTTTAATTAACCAAATACATCTATTTATATGTAAATATCAAATAAGATGAAAATATACATGAAGGCTATCTAAAGCCATGTTCAATGTGTGTTAGTTATAAAAATTAAAGTTTATATTTGCTTACTACAAATATTGAAAATGGATCTGTCTATTTTACTATTTACAGTTATCAAATAAATTAATTGATTTAAGATATTAATTTATCTTTAAATAATAATAACAAAAAATTAGTGTTAAATGTTTACACTATTTTTGCTAAAGTTGTAATGCATCTGTCAAACAATGTGGAAAAGATTTTTAAGCAATTAACCTGTGACAATGAAAATCTATATTTGATTGGGGGATATATGGGACTTATTTATTAATAAAATGATTTAGATTTATTATTGCTTCAAGGATAACAAACATATAAGTATCATAAACATATAGAAAATGTCAATAATAATAATTTTAAAATTCCTTTTGATAATCCTGAATAATATTCAAAATATGGATAAAGTAATAAGTATATGTATGAGTCTCCATATATTATTTGGACTAATTCAGACCAAATTTTAATCATAGAAAAAGAATTTAAATAGAAATATTTTAGTGAAGTAATAGATCGAGTTCATCATGATTTTAAAATTTGGATAACTAAATTTGAAATCTAAATTAATGAAACTTGGGAATAAGGAATTTTAGTTCTTCCATCTTTTTTACTTTCTAAAGCATATGTAGAAATGACATCTTAAGTTATAACTGATAAATTGAAAGAATAAATATAACATAGAAAATTGGATTTGTTTCTACAAAATACTAATACTGAAGTATTAAATTAATATAATTTAAATAGTTTGAAACTATTGTCAAAATAGTCGATTATGTTTCAATTGATTAACGAATAATATTGACATGTGCTGTTCAAGTTCTAAATTTTATTTAAATGCTGAGCTTTGAATTTTCACTTGAAAATTAAGAGGAGTATTTATTATAATACAAATATAATGGAACACATTAATAACATTAACTTGCTCGAAGATATTCAGTTCCAATTTTTATCCCCAAAGTTACACTTTTGGTAACAACTCAAAAATAAGCTATTATTGATGGATATTAAATTTATGATCCTGTGAATGAGCATTAAACAATCAGATAATAAAATTAAAGTTAAATCATTGTTAAAATGAAAGAACAAATAAAAGTTTATAATCTAATTCCCTAAACCTGAAAATATCGATTATATATATATTTATCTATTTCAACTTTATTCATTTATTTATTTATTTATTTTAAATAATAATATTAATTCTTTAGAATTTAAGAAAATTATAAAGAATACCTTATATTTATTGATTGTCAAAATAATTTTTAGACTGATTTGCTGTGAATATTTTATCAGCTATGCTTATAAAGTATATAATTAATACTCGATAATATTATTATTTAATTGGACAGCCTAACTATTTTATAAATTGAAATCTAATTGTTTAAAGATTATTTTTGTATTTTGATAATCTAAGATAATTTAAATAAGTATTCTGCTTTATTAAACTTAGATATGCTTTATTTAGATTTTAGTTAAATCATATACAATGTGGATATTTTGATTTATGATCATTATTAATTCTGTATTTAGATGTAAAAATAAAAATTTTTATTTCTTTTATAATTTCTTGATTTTTCTATGAATGATTAAACTTGGCCTATTTATACGAGTTCACTTCAGTAGAGAATAGCATTTAATATATTAACAGATACCATCTTTAATTTTTTATATAATTTATTTAAGAATTTGGATTTTTCAAAATTCTTAAAAGTTCCTTTATGTGTTTGATCTGTAGTTCATGTTTGAATTAGTGAGAAATTCTAGATTATTAATTATGAAATGAATAATACAATAATAAATTTCGAGATGTTAAATTATAAGGGAAATTTGTGGGTTCAAAAAAATTATGTATTAGGCAATAAGGTAAATCATTTAAGATATAAATTAATAAGACCTAATACCCTTTGTTTTTGGGGACAGTGGCTGGGACTCTTTTGCTTTACTTATATTGTGATTTTGTTTTACTCCAAAAATATTGCGAGATCCCAAATTTAAGTAAAGTAATTGTAACTTTTCAGATATTATCAATTTATTCAATGTTCAGAGTCAATATGACAGGTAAACTTAAAATTTTTAGATTTTAGAACCTGGAGTTTAAATGTAGACAATTTCAAATGATAAATATTTTGATGGCAAATTATGTGAAAAATGCAAAGCAATTAAATTTGATCGTTGTTATCATTGTAAATTTTGTGATCATTGTGTAAATGATTTTGAAGCACATTGTTTTTTGATGGCAACATGCATAGGGAGAAGAAATATAAAGTATTTGTTAGGATTAGTAACATTTACAGGGATAGCGTTATACTTATTATTACTTATTTTGATTTATAAATGTAGAAGTCACTCTAATAATTATATAGTATTTGTATCAGATTGTAAGAAAGAGCTAACCTTTATTATTTTAAATATTGTGAGTCTAGTATTAACATTGGTTCATTTGAATCCATTTATATATACTACATGGAGAAATGCATCATAGGTAATAAAAATTATATGTTTATAGAATTGGACAAAAAAAGAAATGAATAGAACCAAATTCAATGGATCGTTTTCATATATTTATAATAATTATAAATAATTCTTTACTCGATTTTATGATAGTTAATTATATGCAAGTTTTATGTAAAATTGAATCAATATTATATGTAAATAAGATATCTAAATTTATTGTTAAATTATTTATAAAGAAGTCTTATTTATATTGAATAAAGAGTATTTTAAATTGTTTATAATATCTTTAAGTCTTAAAATCTAATTGCGCATTTTTTATTTTAAGAAATAATAAATATAAAAATGAAAATTAATAATAATATTCCAAATTATCTTAAATTACCACATATTGGACATTAATGGAAATTTTTGAAAAACATAGAACTAACTACATTTACTAATAACAGTATGGAATAATCATGTAAAAATAATAATAGTGGTTTAATGACTAATAGTAATGTATGTCCTAATCGTACTTAGTATGATGAAACTCCTTAAAATAAGAAAAGAAGATTGATAAAAAGTTAATCAATAGATATTAATTAATAATTAGATTAAATTGATTCAGTAAAAGAATCGAATAGTGGTTAAGTGAAAAAGATAGCAGAAAATTTAATTAAATAATATGATAATATAAAAGTTACTGAGAAATAAAAGAGTGCTTTAATGCTAAAAAAATAATTAAGTGTTAATAATTAAATAGTTTAAAAACCTCATCTTGAGAAATGTTAATCATTATATTAATTGTAAAATGAAAAAAAATAAAATAATAAGTAACAGGAGACTAATGAAATTAATTCATTTACTTAATTTTTTCAAATAGTTTAAAATCAAGAATAAAATAAGGTTAAGAAAAGAAAATGTTAAATAAATTTTTTTAAGAAAAGTTAATCTATGGATAATATTGATGTTGTAGAATAACAAAAAAAGATAACAAAATTACTTTTACAATCAAAAATTAGAATTAAACCTAAGTTCTCTCCAACCATTAACATTTAGGATCTCCTTTAGTAAAATTGAAATAAATTAAATGAATTAAATTATTATCAAATATGTTAATCTCGAAAACAGATAATGATGAACAATAAGAAGGTGTTGTTGATTCAAAATTGCCAGTTTGTCCTAATTGTGGTTCTGCAAAAGAAAGTATTTTAGAATAAGTACCATCTCCAGCATCATTCATAATTTCTTTGATTTGTCTTTTATATTGTGGAATTTGGTGCATTTTTATTATCCCATTAGTATTTTAATCAACAAAAGTAATAATTTAATATAAATATATATAGATAATAATAAAAAGGTGTTATTATTGTAATTCAGAATTAGAAAAAAGGAATTATTTTTAATTACCAAATATAAATGATTAAATTTTACAATTTAGATTTGGGAATTGTATCATAGTGGTTTCTAGAAAATATGCTATGATTTTATTGGGAATAATATTTATCATATTCTTTTATTTTAAGTATAATGCAGAAAAAGAGGTATTTGAAATAGATTTACATACAAATTTATAATGGATAGATTTTTTATAATATTGTGGGAAGTTTTAATTTGTTGAGAATGGACTTAAAGCAAGACATCAATTTGAAACTCTTTTTAAAAATAAAATAGTTTCATGGAATGGGTATGTATTAATTCAATATTTTAGAATTTATGTCAAAACTAAATTAAATTATGATATATAATTTCCATATAATTATATGGTTTATATAAAAATGGATCCAACAGAATCAACAGATGATATACCAGATATTTTATTAGGTGTGAAATCATAAGAATATTTCATTGACACATTTTAAATGTTAGAAATTGGATAATAATTACATTTTAATGCAAAATTTATATCATTAGGATCTGAATACAATTTTCATATTTTAGAATTAAAATAATTAGATATAATTTAAGAAAATATAGTAGATATAAAATAAATAAAAAAGTTTACTTTAATAATGGATTAAGCATAATAATTAAAAAAAACAAAACTATAGGATTCATTAAAGCGTATGATTCATATGTATTAACCAAAAATAAATGATAATAAATCTAAGGTTGATTAAAATAATGTTGTGTAGATGGGATTAAGTGCTGAATAAATCTAAGATATTGAATAAGAAATTGAATAATTATAAAAATAATTAGAATCAGAGGAATAATAAATAAATGATGAATAAAGTTAAGTTATTAATAATGATTAAATTGAAAATAGCTTATCAAAAGAAGAAAATGATATTAATATGAATTCAAAGATTAATAATGAATAAGAGTCAATAAAAGATAGTTCAACGAAGAATAACTTAGATTAATAATGATAATTAGAAAAGAAATTTAATTTGACAATAATTGTTATTTAATTAATTAATAAATGGAATTTCTCAGCGATCTTGATTTTTTACCAGAAAGCATTAATCCAAAATTAAAGGTCTTAATATACATAATTACAATAATACATGCATTGGCTGTGTTTATTTGGATTGTATTATTGTGTAGATCTTCAGGAAGAAAGACTAATTCTTTTTAAAGTTATGTGGAATAAGTGATGGGTGAAGAATCCAAAATTAAACATCATTGAGTAATTATAATCTATTTTACAACAACATTATAATAATAACATATATTAAAATTATCAATTACTTTATTTTTTATGCGGTTTCTCATGGGTTTTATATGTTGTAATAATATTTTAATATTTTGAATCATTTAAAATTTAGACATCATTTACTTCAAATTAACATAAAAATAATTACAATTGCATGAATCATTAGATTAATCTGATTCAATTAAACTATCAAATAGATTTCTTAAATCTTAATCTAAATGAATTAGTATTCTTTAATCTAATTATTCTTAATTATTTAATTTCTTTATTTTCTTATAAGCCTTGTAAGCTTCTTGAACTTTCATTTCATGTGTTAGTTCTTCTTTCAAAAGATATGAAAACTCTATTTGTTTTTCTTAATTTTACAATAATTTATCATCTTAATTGAGTATTAAAGCATCAGAAACACATGGCTTTGGAAAATAATTAAATAATTTCAATTAGTTTTCATTTAATAACACCATTTTTAATTTATCTATCTCAAATAATTTGTTTAATATAAACTATATATATATATATCTAATTTATTACTGTTATGTCCAATTTCTATTGAATTTTTCTTTAACTATATTCAAATTGTTTTCTTTGTTTTTTTTAACTACCAAACATGAATCCACATAAATCGGAAAGATTTAATTTTAATAAATTTTTTCTTTCCCTTAAAAATTATGCAATTTAAGAAGTATCAGAAATCTTTTCAATTTATAACTTTTAACTAGTAAAAGATTTCTTAATTGTTGTTTTAGATTAAGGTGGACTAAGTATATGACTTCTATTTTAAGATATGGAACAATCATCAAGAATAGCATTTGCTTTGTAAGAGAAATTAAAAAATTTATTGATTAAACTTAATTCCATAAATCCTTAAACAAATGGCATAATAAGAATTGAAATTGTAAAATATAAGGCTTGCCAAAGACCTCCTATTGTACCTATTATATCTTAAATCTTAGGATATGATCTATTATAAAATGTTTATCTAAATAATTATAAATTACAACCTAGGGTCTAATTGATATACATATTCTATTAATTTATTTGAATCAACTGCATCTGATGATTCTTTCTCTAAATAACTTTAATAACTATTTCTCTCTTAAAGATCTTCTATAAATAAACCAACATCTGTTTGAACATATATAGTTTTATGGTAAGCAACTATTGTCTTTTAAGTTTTCTATGCAAATATAGCTGAACCTTGACGAATAGATGGAACAAAGAATTATTATGGTTTCTTTAAATCTAATAATTAATCTTGCACATAATAAACTAATAATCCACCTGTTAAATTTGCTTATATATAGTCTTTAGGATAACATGTATTATTTTGACTTTTATTTTAACAAACAAGTAAATTAAATTTCAAATATTTAAATTCATTAGATGCAGCAGATCCCTAAATAGACTATTAAAATATAATTTCATATATATTACAAAAGGATTTGCTATCCATTCATCATGATTTATGCAATAAATATTACTTTTATTAAATTATTAAAAATATGTTTTTTAAAATTAAGCCTCAAAATTTCTATCTTCACATTTATTCATACTATAATTTTAACATCCTTAAGTTATTTTTCTAGTTTCTGGATCTCTCTTCCTAAAACATTAAGTAAACTATAAACTAAATAATGTATCAAGTCCATAAATGTTATCTAATGTGAATTTATTGACACTTATTACAAAAGTAAAATTATTTGGCATAAGTAAAAAATTCTTTGAAATTTAAATAATAAATACTGGAGTTTCTTAATCTTATTGATCAGAAGAGACAACTGATGGATTTGTTTTTTAAACAACTTCGACAATATTGTTAATTGCTAATATTAAAGAAAGTGCGATTAAAATGAGCGACATAATTATTCCAAGTGGAGTAAAGAATTTATCATTTTTATTAATTCTCAGCTATACTTCTTATGCAAAGAGATCTAAATTGAACAAAAGCGAGCAAATCTTTTTACTGTAATTATTTTTTTGAACTTTTTACATTAATTTAAATTCAAGAAATAATAGTTTGATTACAAATTTAATCATAAAAATATTAGTTCAATTACTCAATTTTTAATGAATAATTCTTAAATACATTAGCTAATTAATTTCTATTATTATTGTATTATCGACCATTCATTTATTGATAAATAATTTATATTTCATTTAAGTTAATGTTTAATATTATATCTAATTATAAATATTATTATGATAGAATAGTATTGTATATAGCTTTTTTGATATAAGAAGAAATCTATAATGCTTACTACAATTTCCAGATAGTAAAAGAAAGTATTTATATTATAATTGGGCAGTAACACATAATCTTTTCACAATCAATAACAATTGTAGTTGAGAGAATAGACAGACTAACTTTATAAACTAAATTTTTGATTAATCATGAAAAGGAGGCTAGAACAATAAAGTCAGGATAATATCCTTAAGGAGGATTATAAATATTTGGTTTGTAAATAATAAACCAACAATATTGGTATTATATGGTCTTATATGTTTTATTAACTTATATTCTACCTTAGTTTGTTAATAAAAGATAGTTGAAGTAGATTTTAATTAAATGAATAGTGATATTTATTATTTTTTATTATAATTTCAAGATTATGAAGAAAGTTTTACATAAAATAAATACAATATTATTTATATATTTAATTATGTTCTTTTTTATCATTGGATTGGCCACTTTAGCTTTTATTGTATTTAGAATTTTAGAAGAAATCTATAAATGCTTATAACCCTTTCCTAATATATAAGCTAAGTATGGTAAGGATTGTTGGGCAGTTGTAACAGGGGCAACAGATGGGATTGGGAAAGGTTATTGTTAAGTTTTAGCTTAATAAAATGTGAACATTTGTATGATTATCAGAAATGAAGAGAAGGGTAAAAAGTTGATAGAAGAGTTAAGTAAGGGATCAACATCAAAGTTTAAAATTGTTGTGGCTGATTTTAATAATTCATTGGAGGAAGGATTTTTTGATAAAGTATATAAATAAATTGAGAATTTGGATATTGGATTGTTGATAAATAATGTTGGAGTCTCACATGTTAAAACTTAGTTTTATTATTATAGTCAGCTCCATTAGAGAAATATAATGACAATTAATTAAGAGAAATAATTACAGTGAATTGTTTTCCAATTGTATTTTTGACAAAGAAAATAATTCCTAAAATGCTTTAAAGAAAGAGATCTGCAATAATTAATTTATCATCATTTACAGGAAGAGTTCCTATGCCTTATAATTAAACATATGCAGCATCAAAAGCATTTGATGATTTCTTTTCAAGATCAATAGCACTTGAATATTCTAATATTGATATTTTAGCTCATAGACCTATGTATGTAACTACACCAATGACAAATTATAAAAAAGGACAAGGAGCTATTTCTCCAATTTAGGCTGCCAAAGGAGCATTGTAATTAAATTGTTATAATAATATTATAGACAACGTTTAGGATTAGAATATTCTACTCATGGACATATTTTACATAGAATTTAAGGATTTTTTGGTGCAGTAATTGTACCATCATTTTTAAGAAATAAAATTCTTAAAAAGGAAATGAGAAGATTAGTAAGAAAATATTTGTGAAATGAATAAAATAAATTAAATAATTATAATATAAGTGTTTATAACTAATGAATTATTTTTATTTTTAAGAATAATAAATAAATTAATATTATTAATGGATTAGGATTAGAATCTATTAACTTTAGTTGTTTAAATAATTTATACAAATAATGAGAGACATTTAAATTGTGCATTTTTAGATCTAGACAAAAGAATGATTGAAGTGTGTGAATTTCAAGATAATGAACATTTTAGTGTGTTTGAATGTCTAGTTCTTTAAGTTAATCCAAGTAATGATTAATTTAATACTTTCAGATGGATAGGATGCTAAATTAACAGTATTGATTTAAATGCCTGAATTGGAGAGTGAGAATAGAAAAGTGCGGGATATTTTAGAATAGTGTGAATTTGAAGTAATTGAAAAAAGCAAAAAAGATTTTTCAGAAATTTAACTTTCTAATTTAAATAAAGTATTGAGAAGCAATTTTAATACTTATAGAATAGAAGAATAGATATGCACTCAATGTATATAATGTTTATTAGAACATACACGTTTATATAAAGATGACACAAATTGTTAAAAATTTAATATTGGATTATTTAACTTAAATAAATTTATGAGATTAGATTTAGCAGCCATTAATGCTTTGATGATATTTCCTAAATAAGGTATTAAATAATTTGATAGTGGAAATAATGCTAGTACTTTAGTTGATTATTTGGATAGATGTATTACTTAAATGGGTAAAAGATGTTTAAGAAGATGGATTAAAATGCCATTATAATCAATATAAGAAATCAATTAAAGATTGAATATAGTTGAATATTTATATTAGAATTCTTCTTTCAGAGCATTTTTAAATGAAGATTTCTTAAAAAGAATACCTGATTTAGATAAATTATATGCAAAATTCTATAAGGTGGCTAGTGATAAAAGAAATAATGCTAATCTTAGTGATTGTGTTAAAGTTTATTAATTAATCTAAAAAATTAAAGATATAATTAAAAGAGTTAATTAAGAATTATATTAAAGTTAAAATTCTATTCTTTAAGAGATATTTTTAAAACCTTTTGAAGAAAACTTAAGTGATTTTGAAAGATTAGAAGAAATGATTGAAAAATCTATTGATTTAAGTAAAGCTTATACTGGTGAATTTATTGTAAATCCTAGATTTTCTGAAAAATTAATGTAACTTAGTAAGAATATTACATAATGTATGAATGATATTGAAAATGTGAGATTAGAAACTGAAACTGAATTAGGAATTACTGTTACTTTAATTGAGTCTGGAACATATACTTATATCTTTGAAGCTAAAAAATAAAGTGCTGATGAAGCCTTTAGAAAAAACCCTAAAAAATATAAGACTATTTCTGTTAAAAATAGAGCTTTAACTTTTACAGTTGAGAAACTACAATCAACAGTTGCTGATTATGTTCATTATAGAGATCTATATTAAGAAGTTTAATAAGAAAAAGTTTAAGAAATATTGAAAATTGTTTGTTCTTATTATCCTGTAATGGAATAAGCATCAAGACTTATATCAGAAATAGATGTCTTATCTTCATTTGCATCAGTAGCTAGAAATGCACCAAGAGCATTTGTTAGACCTATATTTACTGAAAAAAAAGAAATTTTATTGAAAGAATCAAGACATCCTTTATTAGAAGCAATAGATTCAACCTGTATTGTTAATGATCTTGAAATGGATAGAAAATCATCAAGATTACATATAATTACAGGACCAAATATGGGTGGAAAATCTACTTATATTAGATAAATAGCAATTTGTGTATTGTTAGCACATATTGGTTGCTTTGTACCTTGTACTACTGCAGTTGTACCTATTATAGATGCTATAATAACAAGAGTAGGAGCAAGTGATGTATAAACAAAAGGTATTAGTACTTTTATGAGTGAAATGCTTGAGGCAAGTTGTATGTTGAAAACAGCTAAACCTGATTCCTTAATAATAATTGATGAATTAGGAAGAGGTACATCTACATCTGAAGGATTTGGTATTGCTTGGGCTATAGCTGAACATATAGCCAAATAAATATAATCCTATTGTTTATTTGCAACTCATTTTCATGAAATGACTCTTATGGAACATGAAATTCCAGGAGTGAAAAATTATTATGTAAGTTGTGTTACAGAAGATGATAAAATTACTATGCAATATAAAGTTAGATATGGAGCTGTTGATAGGAGTTATGGATTACTTGTTGCTGAAATGTTAAAGTTTCCAAAAGAGGTTATTGATGATGCAAAATAAAAGGCACTTGAATTAGAAACATTTGAACATAATCTAGAATCAAACTTTATTGATGAAGAGGTACCTATATTTAATACTATTGATGATGAACTTTAATATAAAGTTAGAAATAGCACACTTTAAGCAAAAGAGAGAGTTATTAAAGAGGCTGAAAAGTGGAAAAATGATTTAAATAATGAAAAGAATCCATAAAAAAGAAAAGAAATAATAGAAAAAAGGAAATAAATTATACTAAAATTATTAAAATGAGATTAAATTCTATATTTAATAATATTTATAGTTTATAAATCTATTTATTCAAAAAAGATAATAATTTTATGCAAATAATCAAATAAAATATAATATTTATGTTTCATTTGGTCAATTGTTAGCTGTTAAGACATAATTTTATTAATTTTTTTAAAGGAATTTGTATTGATATTCTTCAATACATTTTTGGTTCTCAGTGTATTCGATTGTCTTTCCTATTAAATATAAATATTTTATACCATTATAATCCATTTCATCAAATAAAATAACTTTAGCTCCAGCTGGAACTTATATTGATTTAATTTTGCTTGGATATTTGGCTAATTAGAAATTAGGTAAATCTTCACACATATTAAATGATTTTCCTATTTATATAAATATAATAAATAACCTGTATAATTACATTCTGTGTAAAGTGTAGCACAAGCATCTGGTTTTTCATAAAATAGTTTAAATCCTTTAAGTGCAAATGAAGCATTTTCATTATTTTTTCCAATAGTTGTTGATATTACTAAATCTAATGTAGATGCTTCATGTCCCATAACAAAATCAACAATAGCATAATTTTCAAATCCATCTCCACCACAAATATCAGCAAGTCCAGGATCTCCAAAACCAAATGTTCTTTACCAAACACTTAATCCATCTACTTTAACAATATAATCTTCTCCATTCCAATTATCAATTTTCCATGCTTCAAATGCAATTCTAATTCTTTTATGAGCAGGTAAATTGAATTTTCTTGAAATTTTAGCATCTTTTCCTGTCTTTTCATAACCACCAAAGAATTTAAATTCTCCACATGTTGATGTAAAATCTGGTCCATTTTTACCATCACTTACTTTCCAATCCTCATTAGCTGTCCAACTAGAACCTTAAAATTCTGATGTAAATTCAACCCAATCTCCTTTTAATACACAACCTGAACCATTTCCATCTTCTGGATCCAATAATATATAAGGAGAAACACAAGCTGTACAATCCTCAGCACTTGGTCCAGTACATGTTGCACAATTACTTGAACATTATGCAACATAAAGTTGGAATTATCTTATACCCCAAGATGCTTATTTTGATGATTTTTTGGTTGTGGCTGTCCATTTTACAAGTGCAGCACCATAATTATGAGGAGATTCAAAGTTTACATTAATAATCTTTTCTGTTCCATCAACACCTCCTGGAGTAATCTTATCACAAATGAAGAATTCTTTATCTTCTACTTAAGCTACATTTTATTTCCATTTTTCTTAATTATCAATATACAAAACAGCATTATCATTATCCCAATTATCAATCTTCCAAAATTATGCTATCACTTTAATTCTATAATGTGGTACAAGTTTATCAAATATTTTTTAAATTGAAACATTATTACCAAAATTACCAGGACCACCAACAATTGGAATTCCTGCACAAGTACTTGTTTTAATAACATTAGAAGATCCTTTTGCACTCCATCCATCAGCTTCTATAGTCTTAATCCAGCTTGATGATACTGGTACCCACATTTAACATACAATTGCATCTGGTCCAAGACATGTACCACATTCAGCTGGACATGGCAAATAAGATAATTTCAAGTTTCTAAAACCCCATGACATCTAAAGATTATTAAAAAGATTATACTTTATCAGCTGATTTATCAGCTGAAGATGCAAATGCAATAAATAATGCTGCATGATTATGAGTTATTGTTTAATCAACTTAGAATGAATTNGTATAAAGTGTAGCACAAGCATCTGGTTTTTCATAAAATAGTTTAAATCCTTTAAGTGCAAATGAAGCATTTTCATTATTTTTTCCAATAGTTGTTGATATTACTAAATCTAATGTAGATGCTTCATGTCCCATAACAAAATCAACAATAGCATAATTTTCAAATCCATCTCCACCACAAATATCAGCAAGTCCAGGATCTCCAAATCCAAATGTTCTTTACCAAACACTTAATCCATCTACTTTAACAATATAATCTTCTCCATTCCAATTATCAATTTTCCATGCTTCAAATGCAATTCTAATTCTTTTATGAGCAGGTAAATTGAATTTTCTTGAAATTTTAGCATCTTTTCCTGTTTTTTCATAACCACCAAAGAATTTGAATTCTCCACATGTTGATGTAAAATCTGGTCCATTTTTACCATCACTTACTTTCCAATCCTCATTAGCTGTCCAACTAGAACCTTAAAATTCTGATGTAAATTCAACCCAATCTCCTTTTAATATACAACCTGAACCATTTCCATCTTCTGGATCCAATAATATATAAGGAGAAACACAAGCTGTACAATCCTCAGCACTTGGTCCAGTACATGTTGCACAATTACTTGAACATTATGCAACATAAAGTTGGAATTATCTTATACCCCAAGATGCTTATTTTGATGATTTTTTGGTTGTGGCTGTCCATTTTACAAGTGCAGCACCATAATTATGAGGAGATTCAAAGTTTACATTAATAATCTTTTCTGTTCCATCAACACCTCCTGGAGTAATCTTATCACAAATGAAGAATTCTTTATCTTCTACTTAAGCTACATTTTATTTCCATTTTTCTTAATTATCAATATACAAAACTGCATTATCATTATCCCAATTATCAATCTTCCAAAATTATGCTATCACTTTAATTCTATAATGTGGTACAAGTTTATCAAAGATTTTTTAAATTGATACATTATTACCAAAATTACCAGGACCACCAACAATTGGAATTCCTGCACAAGTACTTGTTTTAATAACATTTGAAGATCCTTTTACATTCCATCCATCAGCTTCTACATTCTTTATCCAACTTGATGATACTGGTACCCACATTTAACAAACAATAGCATCTGGTCCAAGACATGTACCACATTCTGTTGGACATGCCAAATAAGATAATTTCAAGTTTCTAAAACCCCAAGACATCTAAAAATTATTAAAAAGATTATACTTTATCTGCTGACTTATCAGCTGAAGATGCAAATGCAATAAATAATGCTGCATGATTATGAGTTATTGTTTAATCAACTTAGAATGAATTTACATTACCACCTGCTGGAGTTGCACATCTTTTTGTTCCATCACTTCCAGTCCACATAGTTTCCCATAAGTAATTATCCAAATAAAAGAACTATCTCTATGTGTCCCATGCATCAAATCTAGATTTATTAAATTATTCAATACTTCCAGACTTCAACTGATATTTTAATCTAAAAATGGGGAGGTAATTAAAATTGTTTGGTAACTATAGCTCCTTTACCAAATGCTTTAGGTCCTCCAAAAATAGTGGCATCTGAACAAGTAAAGAAATTATCAGCCTATGCTTTTGACAATGATCCTTGTATTGTCCACCCATCCAATTAACCTAGGTCTGCATTAGAAAATGCAGAGTAAAATTCAACAAATTCTTGCGATGTTGCAAGCATCACAAAAATTGCAATCACAATGAATCTCATTTATATAAAATTAATATTCAAAAACGCATAATTTTAATAATTTATTCATACACCATAAACATTAATCATTTTCATCCTAAATCCATTAGGCAAGTCATCACTACTAAACATGCTATCAAATTTCTGCTAGCCAAATGACTATTACAATTCTTATAATATATTAATAAAAAGAGGTTTGATAGATGGAAACTCTGTTGAGGCAACAATACAATAAACAAAATATTTGATATCGTTGATTACTCTTCCTGGATACATCTTCACTATATTTATTAAGATCCTATATTTTAATTATTTTCTTACCTAAATGATTCCTCTTTATATTCATCTAAAGTTTAACTCTTTATTTAGCTAAGGATCAAACAAACTCTTTTAAAAAAATTAGGTATCAATTCTTCAATTTATTAAATATGTGATCCAGCTATTCTGCATATTGCTATACATATATTTTAAGCAATTGATTTAGGTAATTTTGATTCATTAATTATTTTTATTAGTTTCTCCATAACAGCATTAAAGATTACTGTAATTTTGGATGGATCTTTTATAGCTAATTCTCCCATAGCCCATGCAGCATTATTTGAAGTAGCCAAAAATATTTTAGATGGATCAATACTTATAGATTAAGCATAGATGTATTCATTTCTAAAATATTATATATATATTTACAATACAATAGCAATATTGACATTCTTGAAAATTGTATAACAATCTTTAATTAAATCACCTATTAAAGAAAGTGCATATTATTTAACATCAGTTTCAGTATCTTATAATGCAAGATCAACAATTTATAAAAATGACTAATCACATAATTCTAAAAAGCTTTCTTTTGTTATGTTGATAATCTTAATACACAAATCAAAAGATCTTTTTAGAATTTCTTTTTATTAATATAAAAATCTTGTTTTTCCATTTTATATAGATTATACATAACCACTCATAGATTATACTGTAGCTTAATAAATAATGGGAATATATTTTATTGCTCTTTATCCAAATTTTTCAACTGCTTCTGACAAACATTCTATAATTAAATGATATAATAATACCATAAAGAGGACATATATTATAGTCATTTAAATCAACTAAATTACTGATCAATTTAGTCATTATTAAATCTATTAATTCTTAATTCTCAATAGTTTCACATTCAGATAATATTGTTGTTATTGATTAATAAATGTATAATAATACTCCTCCTTTTTAAGATAATGCTTTTAAGTATACTTAAAACAAATCTAATAAGTACGGTTGCAATATAAAGAATGCATCTTTTGATAAAGAATTCAATGCAGAACAAGCAGATTCCTTTACTATTCTAAAAGATATAATTAATTATATACATTGATTAATTTTCTATAGACAGCAATAATAATTTTAGATACGATTAAATAAATTATGTCTCGTTAATAGCTACTGTTTTAATCCACTCATTATATTATGAGAATGTCCATAATGTAGAAGCATATATATATTCATTTTGTTGATTCTTTTCATTAAATAAAGCCATTAATATATTGGGTACAAGATTACCATGATTTTCCATTATTTTTTCTGCAAATAATCCTAGACAAATAATAGCAATTTCTTATTATTTCCAATCTTATGATTGCTAGAGTTGATCAATAATTTATAAAACTATAGGAACAATAATTTTATCATAAAATTCTATTAATTTTTTAAGTAATAGATTTGACACTGATCTTAATGAATATTCTCCTAAAGTTTTCTCTTCATCCTATTCATCATCTTCATTTTTACCAGTTTAATTGTAAACATTTGCAAATGTTGGTTATATGGCTATTTAATCAGATCTAGTAATTGCTAGATTAAGTATTACGGGTGATAATATTTATTGTAAATAAGGTTCAAGTAAACGAGTTTATTCATAATCTTCAGCATCTTCTATCCTTAAAAAATCTGTTAAACATAATTCTACAAATCGTACAACTTCCTTGTCTGAATCTTATAATGATTAAACACATGCCATTATAACTAAATTCATCTATTATATTTTAATTCGTTTAGTTTCTATTAAAGCTTATATACCCTAAAAGCATTTCAATCTTATTTATTATTGTTGAGATTATGTTCCAGTAATCAAAATTTAAATGTAACTATCAATATATTAAGTTAATGAAGGAGGCATAAAGAAAATATTATAGTTTAAAAAATTTAAGGAATTTACAACTACTTATGTATCCTAATGTTCAACTAAGGAAATAAATTTAATAACTAATTGATCTATTAATTGTAAACTTGAATCTGTTCCATAATTATTGATATTTTCTGAATTGAATTTCAAGTCTTCAATTATTTTGGATAAACAATCAGTTGCAATTACAGGATCAGCATCTATCAATTTAATTAAATATTCCATCATTAGATTGCTATCTATGATTAATATGATGTTTGCTTACTTTTAATTCCAATTCTAACTACAACTTCTGGGACAATAATAATAAATGCTTATCTCATTATTTGAATACTCAAATCAACTTGCACTAACATTTATTATAATTATTCAGGTAATGTGGAACAATTTTTAATAGCACTTTTTAAAATCACAGAAGCTCTATATCTAATTTCTGGTTCATAATTTCCAATTATCACAGAACATAAATGTATTAAGAATTAAGTATCTTAACTTAACTCCTAAGCTCTTTTATATACTTATTTTTATATCTAATTGTCTGGTTAGGCTGACCATTATATTAATTCAATTATTTAATCCATAATTAAATATATATTAATTATCAATATTTGTATTTAGTTGAATAATCTTTTGGAGCAACAACTAAACCTTTGCCTTTTCTAGCACCTCTATATATAATTTCAACAATATCTATGAATTCCTACTTATCATTCATTGCCCAATTTATTTTATTATTATTTCCTGTACCTAAATCAATCATCATATGTTTGTTTCTATAAAAAAACATAACTGTAACAGGATCATATAGTTCATACATTGTATTAAAATCAGGAACTTTAGTGATATCAACTAAATAAACAACTGCAAATTTTTTTATTTTTTCAGCAGATTTATAGAGGATTTCATCCATTTGCATACATTATGGATCCCTATATATATATTAATATTTAATTACCAATCATGTCCAAAACGTATGATAACTAGTTTCTCTTCTTCATCTAAGATTGCTTAATCAACTTCCCAACCGTTATTTAAATGAGGTAGAAGGTAAGACATTTTTTAAATTGTTAGTTATAAATTATTAAAAATTATGTCATTTTTTATTTACTTTTTTTTCTCTCTATTCTTAATTTTTCATAAAAGCAACAAAAATTTATTATTCTCTTTATTTTTTTTCTGCTTCTATTCTTTTAATAGCATTCAATCCATCATTTTCTTTTCTAATTGTAGTAGGAGAATTATGTTCAATTGAAGTATTTAAAACATTTTTTACTTATTATTTATTTGCTTTAATTTATTATGCTTTATATGATTAACTATAAGATTAAGATTCTAATGAAGGTCTTCCACCAATCAGATTTTTTTGTTTAGATAATAATAATGGGGTTTGATTATTAGATTAATTTGAATTAACTATTGGAGATTAATTAGTTTATGTTGTTGTTGTTTGTAAATGTTATGTTTTTTATTAATTCATTAATTATTTAAATAATTTCTATTAATTAGGTACTGATTATGAATGATCTTATATTGTATTATTATTTTAATTTTATTTTAATGATTTCTCATCAACTTAATTTTATTATTCCTATTGTTTCTTACTATTTTGCTATTTTTTTTATTAAACTTTTAACATTGATTCATCTTTTTTTATTTTTTCTGTAGTAGTTATTAAATATTCTTACAAATAATAATCATCTTCTTTATCTGATAAGTCTTATGCAAGTAATAACTCTTTTGGATCAAACTCTTTAGATACATTTCCTAAATCTTCCCATTTAATAAGATTGTTTGGTTTTTCTTTTGGTTTTTGTAAATTTTTAGCTGAATTTTTTGGCTTTTCTTAAAGTGATATATTATTAGGATTTGTAATTGGAGGTTCATATTTATAACTTTCAGCTCTTGGTTTAGGTTTTGCTGGTAAAATCAATCTGCGTGAACATAGTTTTTCTTAAGTTAATATTTCACTTTGATCTTTAGTGTTGAATGGTTTTCCAACAACAACCATCTTTTTTCTATAAATTTTAGGATCATGAACTCCTAGATAATCATATAATGCTCTTAAAGAGTTGTCTACAGGAAAGATAATATCAGCTATCTTTATTAAAGCATACAAAAATTCTTAATATGTTAATTCTTATATATTTGAACATTTTTTAAAAATTTCTACTAAGATTAATTTAGTAACAACAAAATTCTCTTTTTCTTTATGTTTATATTTAATTTTATTAATAGGCTTATTTGCACCTTATCCAGTATGTTAATAAATAAAATCATTGTTTATTTCTAAATCTATTAATTCAAAATCTTTACAAAAATACATAAATTTTTACAATGTCATTACTTACTAAATCTGATGAAGTTAATCAAAAGTATTTTATTTATTTGAAGTTTAAGCTTATCTAGAATAAAATTTATAAATTTCTTTTATATTTGTTTCAACAATTTTTTCATAACTTCTTTCATTATCTTACTAAGATAATTATTATGGTTTGATCATTGGTTTATTTAATTAATAAGGATCATCTTATGAAAGTTATCTTGATTTTGTCTTGGGAGATTGAATAACTTATTTGAATTTTTCCGTAACCTCCTAAGTTCCTAATATTTAATCATTACTTTGAATATCTTCTTCATTCTATTTGATATCTGTAACTTCAGTTGGTACTTATTTTAGAATGATATTTGATTAGTTTTCCTCTTTTGTATTTTAAGTCACTTTATTACTCTAATCATCAGATTTTTTTCTTTAATTATTTTCTGGTATATCTTCAAAATCTTAATCTTCAGCATTTTCCAACATTTTAGATTAATCTTAATTAAATGTTTACTCTATTTCATCATTACCTTAATCTTATGAATTAGATTAATCAGCCTAATTATCTTTTTAGTTAAAAGAATTTTCATCATTTTCACTTATACTCAATTCATCATAATCATTTGGTTTATCCTAATTATTACTTTATAAAAAAGATTCATTTTTATTTTTTGTGGAACTTTTTCTTTTAAGTTATGTACCATTTACTGTTTGAGATTGTACTGTTTAATCACTTTATTTTTATGAATGAAAACTTTCTGGATATAATACTGATCCATTTGAATTTTGATACTTATGATTTAATTATGAATCTTTGGAATCTTAAAAATCAGATTAGTTATCCATAATAATTTTATTAATAATAATTTGTAATATTTATAATATAAATTCAAAGCTTTTTATTAATTTCTTCTATTTTATTTAATTTTAATCACTCATTTTCTTAATTGTATTATTCCTGAAACTTTTACAATTAATTAAATTCTCATAATCAAAAATGAGTGTCTTCCATAATTGAATTTTTAATTTATTTTATTATTAATTATGTAAAAAATATTAAGAACCTTAAATCCTTTATATAGATTCTCAACAAAAAAAGCTCAAAGAATTTAAAATAAAATTCAAGATATCAAAGATCAAGAATCAACTTCAACCTTAGAAAGTGTAGCAGAATAGAACACATTTACTGATGAATAATTGGTTAAGATTATTGAAGATAGAAGATAATTTATTAGAGAATTGACCTAAGAGACTAAAGCTCCTAAAGAGGTCAAATATATAACAATTGCTACTTTGAGTCCTTTAATTTTATTATCATCAGCTACATTATATTGTTGTGTAAATCCAGCATATGCAATCTATACAGGATAATTAATGCATGCATCAATAAAATATGCATCAATCAATTTGGCATTTTAAGTATAAATCAATTCATATTTATTAACAGTCTGGGATTCATTGGGGATTTGCAATGTCTCAACATGAAACTTAATTAGATTGGCTTAATAGTTCATCTGAAGCTCGAACTACCTTTTTTTTAGCCTCTATACCTATTATTGGTGCCATCTTAATTTCATAATATTTTTTATATGGAAATGATGATAATATTTAATCGATTTCAGCTATTATTGGAATAGTTGTCATGAATTTAAGTATATAAAATTAATAAATTATTAGTGGTTTCTGGTTTAGATATTAGAGCAAGAAGTTATGCACCTGGATGGTTTTTGAAAAATAAAATGTTTTATTCTTTTGGTTTTCATGCAGCATTAATACCATTAGTATACTGTCTATTTCTTTATGGAGACAATTTCAAAAATAAGGTAAGTATTTATAGAGTATAATGATTTTTAATATAATATAACAGATTATTTTAAAATATATGTTAGTCATTATTGCTTATTAATTGCATCAAATAACAATTATATAGATTAGGCTAGCTAAGAGTTAGGATTTTGTTCATTTATTAATTAAATGGCTTTTAATTTCTTAAAATATTCATTTCTCTCTCTCATCAATAAAATATATTATTTCTTTAACTCACTCTCATCTCTATCAACACACTATATATTAAAATATTATATAGAGTTACCTCTTTTAAATTTGATAATTTGCCAAGTTTTCTTAAAGTTGCCATAGAATTTTCATCATTCTATTCTTATAATTCTTATATGTATTATGGGATTAATTTCCACTTTTAACTCATTAATTTATTAAATATATGTTTCACAGACAAATAAAACGACCTCAATCAGTATGTATAAATTAATATAATTCATGAATCTAGGCAATCAAATATGAACCTTAGGGATATAAATAAAAGTCAACAAATGAATGTTAAATTTTAATGCCAAGTGCTATACAATATTTTTCTGATTTAGATTCATTACATCATGTTTCAAACAATTTTCTAAGACCATAATCAGCTGTTTCACTATATTAGAATAAAAAGATTAGTAGCTCAACTATGGTGGATAATAAATAAGTTAGTGACACAAGATTAACTGATCCACGTTAAACACCAAGATATATAAAGAAAGATAAAGAAGAATTGTATTAAGAATTGTTACAATTATAATAAAAATATAATTAATGTAATGAAGAAAATACTAAATTAAAAACTTAAATTTCATCATTAGAAAAATAAGTTATTCATTTAACAGATTTAGTTAGAAATGTTGAAATGTTTTGTAATAAGAAAACTAGTCATTTCAATGTATTTTAGTTAAAAAAACAAATTCAGGATCTTAAAACTATTCTTAAAACAAAAGAATAAGAATTAGAATAATTAAAATAAAATGTTAAAACTACCAAAATAGATGAAATTAGAATAGAATTATAAGAATCTCATATAGAATGTTTAAGATTAAGAACAATGCTTGATCAATAATTAAGATAATAAGTATTATTTAATTATAATGATCATACATTAATTGAAGAAAAATTATATATATAAAGTTAAATGATGAATTAATTAAAAACAGAAAATGATTAAATGACAGGATTACTTAAAATTCAAGAAGAAGAAACATATTATTATAAAAATTTGTTAGCTGAAACTTTAAAAACAGTAAGAAGATATGAAGAAACAATAGAAGATTTACATAAGAATCTAAAAGGTAAAAATTAATTTATGGATAAATTGGCTTAAAAAATAGAAGCATTAAAAAATACTAATAATGGATTAGCAGATAAAGTAGTAAAAGTTGAAGATTTAAAAGAAGAGATTAGAATTTTAAAATGTACAATAGAAGATTAAAATAAATAAATTAAAAGTGTTTTATCTGATAATGAATATCTAAAAGGAATGGTTCATGAATTAAAAATTAAAAATAATGAAAAATCAGAAATATAAGCAAAAGAAAAAAAAGCATTATAAGATTAGATTGCAAAAATATCAAATTAATATGATCTTTTAGATGATAAATACAAAAATCTATTATTAATTTAAGTTTAAGCTAAAAATAAAGAAACTGCTTAATCTTCATTGATTCATAAAAAAGAATAAACTGTTGGTTTAACTCTTAAAAATAACAATGATAGTTTTTAATAACAATAAACATATGTCCCAAAAAAATTAAGAGCAATAAAAATGAATGATGTTTTACATATTGGAGAAGAATTAAATTATAGATTTAGAATAAAAAAAATAATATTAATTGATGTTATAGAATAATTTCTATTTGATGATGATAATAAAAAAGAAAAAAAAGTTAGTATCAAATAATTACAAAAAAGATTCGAAAAAGAACCATTTATGTTATTTGAATAAGATAAAGCATTAATGTTTGCTCGTTTTTTAATAGAAGATAATTCCTAAGAATTTGTTGAATTTAATATTGAACTTACAGAAACCTTAGAAAGAGTTAAAAGTATTTTTACTAAGATAATTGGTAATTATAGAATCTTTACTGCTGAAGAAGAAATGAAACATAAAGAAGATATTACTAAACTTATTATCAAATATAAAAATTCTCTAAAATAACATTTTGATTCTCTTCAAAGTAATAATGGTGAATTAACTAAAAGATAAATATTAGAAACATTTATTTTTATGGATATAGATATTAATAATAATTAACTTGAATACTTTTTCTTAAAACTATTTGTTTTTTCAAATAAAATTGATAGATTTCCATATTAAAAGATTTTTGAAATATTCTAATAGACTTAAACCACATCAAGTATTATAAAATATTTCATTATTTTAGCTCCTCATTTATAAAGAAAAGAAACTCAAAGAAAAAAAGCAAACACTGAATCTAATAAGCAACCTGTCTATGTAACTAAAAGTCTATTCAAACCAGTTGAAGCTACTAATCTATAATAAGTTTGAATTATTGTTTTAATATCAAAATTAATTATTTTAAATATTCATTTATAATGTATTTCAGACATCACTGCCTAGAATGTGGTACAAATTATATTAATTAAGGACGCTATTTTGATTGATCCATGGGTATGTATAATGAATGCAATATATTTATGTGAAAATTGTGCTATGATTTTATCAACTGAACCTGGAGTTACTAATATTAAAAAATACTCATAGCTAAATGAAGAGGAAAGAGAAAGAATGTAGAAAGGTGGAAATGAAAAATTTTAATTAAATGTTACTAATGTTAATGATAAATTTCATACTCATAAAGCATTATAATATAGATTTGAAGTATCTAATGAACTATGATAGTTAGCATTAGGTTTAAGTGAATTTGATTCAGACATCAGCACTAATTATGCAAGTCCAAATAAATCACTTAGTTATTACCCTGAACAAAAAAAAAGATTAACTAAAGCTTTGGAATTAGAGGGAATTGAATAGGATATAGAATGGATACAAATTCAATATTAAATTTTAACAAGAGATTTAAAGAAAAAAATTGATAAGAACTTTTATTTGACTAAATTGGAAGAGATAGGAAAAAAATTGGTTGAAAAATAAAAGTAGAAATAAGTTCAAAAAAAATAAACATCCAATTAAAATGATGTTTTTTCATCATTTTCTGCCTTATTGAAGAAATAGACTTGAAATATCATTTAAATATAATAAGCTTTAATTGTTTTCGTAAAATTACTTACAGAATCAAACCTTATGATTAAAATTTAATGTTCTTTAAGTTGCATTTATATTTAATTGTTATATATTATTTAATAAATCTCTGTAAATTATTATCTATATTGTTTTTAAACATTTGTAATTTGAAACAAAAGAATTTTAAATATTCTAAAAAAACAATAAAAAATATTTTAATAAATAATATTTTGTTATTTAAATAAATTAATTATTTATATATCGTTATGAAGAAATTAAATCAATAGATGCAAAAAATTGCAGGTCGCAATAGCTTTTAAGAATCTCCTTAACGATTGGAAAAGAAAACCATAAAAAACCCTGCTAAAACAGTTAAAACAGAAAGACCTTAATAAAAAGGGAAAACTAAATTATAAGATTATTTTAAAAAAGAAAGAAACTCATTAGCTTAGGTTGTTAATAACATTAGAGCAAAATTGAAAGGAAGTAAAAGTATTGATAACATGTTCCTTTAAACATAAAAAAGTGAAAGGACAAAAACATCATAACAAAATGTACTCCATTTGAATAGTCTAAAATAGCAAATTGAATAAAGAGTATAAACAGATGAAGGGAATAGCTCTAAACGTTTAAATTTGAAAAATAAAAATTTATCATTAGCTACTGTTTCAATTGATGTATGAATTAACAAATAAAAGTTATAGAAAAAAGAATACTAAAAATAACCTTCTACTACTAAGTAATCTTACAATCAATCTCCTTCTAATTAGTCAAAACCAATTTTAAATAAATCTAAATCCAAAGATTAATATTTATTTGATTTGGTATATTATATTATCATAATTTATAGTTAAAAAATGCTCAAATGATATCAAATCAATATTAATAATACTTTAATTTGAAGTAAAATAAGTAATCTATATAATCAGACACATCAACAAATCATAGATAATCTATTGAAGATATGTTGATCAATTAAAAATCAACTAAAGGATCCCCTCAACCTTATTCTTCAAAATTATCAAAAAAAACAGAGGGTGACTCTAAATCACTTAATTAAGGATATTCAAAAACTGAATAGACTCCTATAATAAAATAATAGTCTAAAACTAAAATAGAAGAATAATTATAGTATGATACTAAAAAGAAATTATAAATTGTTTTATTCTATAAATAAACAAAGTATTTTTTCATTCTATTACCTTAGATATTACTATTTATTTGATTACATTAATTAAAAAACTGATGATTTATATAACTTTCTTATTGAATAAATTGCAAGTATTGAAGTGATATCAGCAAAAATAGAAGGAGGAGGAACTGGTTCTACTGAAGATTAATATATTTAAGATGGTACATATATAATTAATTTAGAATTGAATAAGATTTGCCAATTCATTACAGTTACTAAGAATATTCCATATGATTATTACCTTTCGTTGCCAGATCTACCTTTAAATGTATTTTAAGGTAAAATACTTTAATTGTAACCACTGTATGGTTAGCCTAAAGAGACTTAGAGAGTTGGATTAAAAGACTTTAATTTGATAAAATGTATAGGAGTAGGTGGTTTTTCAAGAGTATATTTGGTCAAAAAAAAAGACAATGGTTAATTTTATGCATTAAAATTAATTGATAAAAAGTTCATATTTGATAATGCTAAAGAAATAATAGTATAAAATGAAAGAGACATTATGGTAAGAATGGAAAATTAGTATATAATAAAATTACATTATGCTTTTGAAACTAGATTTTATATTGCTTTTGTGCTAGAGTATAGTGCGGGAGGAGAGTTATTTTATCACTTGAGAAGATTAAAACGATTAAATGAATAAGAAGCATAATATTATTTTGTAGAAATATGCATTGGAATGGCCTATCTACATTCATAAAATATTGTATACAGAGATATTAAACCTGAAAATATTTTATTGGATTTGTAGGGTCATATGATGTTAAGTGATTTTGGATTGTCTAAACCAAATATGGAAGATGGAGAATTAGCCTATTCCTTTTGTGGGTCACCTGAATATATGGCTCCTGAAATGTTAATGAAATCTGGACATAGTTATTTAGTAGATTGTTATTGTCTAGGAGCTTTGCTTTATGAACTTGTTTCTGGATTACCTCCGTTTTATTCACATGATACTTAAGAAATTTATAATGCCATATTGACTGAGAATGTTTAATTTCCAGACTATGTTTAAATTTCTGATTAATTAAAAGACTTAATTACTAAATTACTTTAGAAAGACCCTGATAAAAGATTAGGATCAAATGGTGGCATTTCAGAAATATTAACACATGTCTGGTTTCATAATGTTGATTTTGAAGGAATAGTTAATTAGACTCTTCCAACTCCTTATAAACCAGAACCTTTAAAATATAATTTTGATGAAGAAGAATTTAATAAAGGAGATGCTGAATTTAGAAAATAATATGCATTTAATCTTCAATATGAATTTTAAGTATTTATTATTGATATTTTTAGAATGTAGATAATGCAAATTATGAATTGGAAAATTTCTATTATGCAAGACCATAAGAAGAATTCAAAAATAGAACCAATTAAGTTAATACAAGCAAATTAATTTCTTAAATTGTTTAACAAGAGCCAATTTCTCCAAATAAATAAATGATATCAAAAATCAAGGTAAATTTATTAAATAATTAATAAGCATTCACCATAAGAAAGTAAAAATATATAGTAACCAAACATTAAAAGTGAAGCTCATGATTATTTCAAAAAGCATAATCTCTTAACAAAATCTTCATAAATACTTCAATAATCTTTAAGGTTAGGTCATGCTTATTCTAAAACTTTATAATAGCCTTCAATGTCAATTTAAGATTTAAAAGTAGTAAAATTAAATAATTTAGAAATTAAAATCAATGTTTGATCAATCTAAATAATTGTTAAGTTCTGATAGGGTTACTACAATTCCTGATTAGAATAATAAACAAATTTTAGAGAGAGTAAAAACAGAATAATTTGGTAATTTACCTTCTCCAAAAACTACAACAAATAATGCTGCAAATAAATTAGCTAAGTTTTCTAAATTATTTGGATCAGAAAAGAGAAAAAAATGATAATGTATATATAGTTTTTTAAATCTACATATTACTCATTAATTTTTAATACAAATTATTAAATATATTAATGTACCTATTTTTTTGAATGTAATGTATTTATAATGCAATCATTTCTTCTTTTATTCGACTTTCTTAATATAAAATTCTAATTCTTTTCCTTCCAAAATGTAACCATCAGCTCTTCCTGATTATCCTGGTCTTGATGTAATTCTTACCAATAATCTTTAATTTGTAAATTATTCTTAAACCAATGCATCAATAGCATTTTCCTTTGCTCTTTATTCTAATTTCTTAATTAGACTTCTTGATTTCTTAGTTTATTCAGGTTGTCCTTCCTAATTTAATATTTTAATAATTACTTTTTTATCCTTCTTTTTTGATCCCAATTCTACATTATATTTCTTTGCATACCATTATCTAAATGGAGCAGCATCTACTTAAACAATCACTCCTCTAGTAAGTGTCTTTGTTCTTACCAATTCATTATTTGATGGATGATAAACAACCTCAACAATTTTAGCTTTTTTAGCAATTCCTTGACTTCCCCAAGAGAAATTTCCTTCAGATAAACGAAGAGCTCTGAATTTGAAATTTCCTCCCCTGACTCTTAATCTTCTTACTCTCTTTTCTCCTGATACTAATTTAGTCATTGCTGCTTATCTTCCTTTTTCAAAGGCTCTCTTTTTCTTATGGATAGGCATACGACCTCCTGTAAGTCTTCTTTTGTGTCTACTGTCTCTTGAAATTCCCATGAAATGCTTTCTTAAATAAAAAAAGATTTTATTTAATTTTAAAATGTGCTTATATATTAAATCAAATTTGTTTATTATTTTCCATTAATAATTCAATGTTTTTTACAAAATAGAAGTGATGATTATAAAATTCTAACAAATATTAAATATGAATAATTGTAAAAAATCAAATTTATTTATTTTTTGGACTTAAATTAAATCTATATTTTAATGTAAAATATAATACTTCTTATCATCTTAAATTTATAAGGAGTATTTCCTTAGATTTTTAGGTTATCTATATTCAAAGCTCAAATCATCTGTTTAAAATACAGTTTTTTCTTTCTTTTTTTAAATTAGTTTATCAACTGGTCGTTATTAGATTACAAATTCCTTTAAATCTTAACTTTATTAACTTAGCAATTGTAAATAAGGATATTCTATAATGCTCCTTTATGGAATATTCTTAGGACTTTTAGAAAGATATTATTAATTGCTATCAGAATGAGGAAGACTAGGCAATCTTAACTTTGGAATATGTTTAACCCTATTAGGACTAAATGGACTTAGATTCTAGAAATAAAATATGTTTCTGTTCTTAAGTTATTTAACAACTAAATATTGATTTCGAATTTTAAAGTCCTTGAATTCTATTTCTCTTTTTGGTTCTATTATATTTTTTTTTAATTGATAATACAATGACATTAAAAATAATAATAATAATATTCTTTTATGTAAATTGTAAAGCTATACAATAGGGTATTTTAAAAGCCTTTGTTTTTAAAGAGTTATTGATTATTATTTAATTAATTGAATCAAAAATGAATATTATGTGATCATATATTTTAAATATAAACAATTGATTTTTCATGAGATTACGTCATCAATCCCAGGAATTAGTTGGCTTACGACATCTATGTTTAGATCTATTGATTAATGATTATAACATACAATAGACTTTGAAACAAATCTTTAAGTTCATTATTGCTCATTGGTTAATAAGGATGAGAAGGGAAATATTGATTAGGTCTTTCAAATTCTAATGGAAATAATCTCTATAATTGTCTTTGATTTGTACTCTCAATTTAAAGAGATTTAAGTTTTTATGGTTTTCTTACTTTATTAATATTAGATTCGGTAGTAAATTTAGTTTTAGATTGGTTATAATTTCTTTATTAAATTCTAACTTTAGGAATATAGACATCAACTTGAGAATACGAAATCTCATAGCTTAATAGAGGAGGTAATTTGATATCTTCTTTAGATCTTTCTGTTGAAGAGCCAAAAGCATAACTTTTTTTTCGTTATTTATTTTCTTCTATTTTGTAGACAGAAATATTTGTTTTTTTAACTCTATTTTTATGTAGTATAAATTTATGGTAATTAAGTTCTGCATCTGTACTCTCAGTATTTTAAGAGAGAAAATCATATAGATCTCTAACCATTTGATTATGATAATTAATGATGTATTTATATATAATTTATTTGGATTTGGATGATTTGGAGAGTAAATTTATAAAATAAGATGATGTTAATTATGATTTAAGTAAATGTTAGATGTTTGAGATAATTAAATACATAATAAATACAAATTAATTATAGTTAATTTACAAATGCATACTTTGTAATCCATAATCTAACAAAAGGTTTTGCAATAAATAAATAAGCAAAAAACAGAACCTTTAGAATCCATCTATATTACTTATGTAAATTGAATTATAAAGTTTAGTCTTCAGCCACCAAGATTAAATTGTCTTTAGAGGATGCAGCTTAAGTTAGAAAAGTTATGCAAGTAATTCCTATTTTAAGTAGGGTATTCAAAGTGTTCATTTACAGAAATAGTAATCAGAAGCATTGATTTCTAGTAATAAAGGGCCTGTTATCAATGTTGATAACAATAATGCTATGAATTAAGTTAAGAATGAGGATAATAAATAGAGTCCTTAGAAAGGTAGATTTTTAGTAAGAAATGAATATGGCAGCAAATTGTAATCTGAGAATAAAATTAATCATTCATCAGTTGCTCCAAATAAATACCATAAAAATTAGTTATCCTTTGGGGAATGTGGAAAAAAGATTAAAGCAGAGGATATTTGGAAAAGGAGAAAGGATTATGATTAGAAAGTTAGATAATTTCATTTACCAAAAATAAAAGAATATAATAGATTTCAAAATAATAGCTTATAAAAATAACAATCTGGATAGCATACTGCAGAAATTTAATTCTCAGATATCTTTAAAGAAGATATTGATGATGATTTGTTGTAGGAATATAATGAGAAGTAATTTAAATTAGATTAAATTAGATATTATAAAAAATAACTCTTTCTTTGGAACAAAAAATAAAGATAATTTGATATTGTTAACGATGATTTATTTGATTGATTTATTATTTATTTTAAATAATGACATCAATTATGGAATACTAATAAAAATAATAATAAAATCTATTCGTTAGCTTTGTATTTTAACTTAATTGTAATATGAAAATTATATAAAATAATTTATTATATTAATATGTCATAAGTGAAAAAAAGCCTCTTAAAAGTAGAGAAACTATAATTTGATATCTACATTAATAAATAGTTAATTTAAGTGGATTATGATGATTAAACTACTGTAGAAGAAGTTCTTGACATGATTAAAAGAAAACAAAATATATCTAATTAAGATGTTTCTTTGTATTTGGCAAAAAAAAGTGGTGAACCTAAATTATCTTTTCCTGCTTTAGAGAAAAATAGAAAACTAATAAGAACAAATGAAAAACGATTTGTTGTTGTAGTGAAGTAAATGGAACCAAAAATAATGAACGAATTCCATGAAAAAGATTTAAAAATAATTGAGTAGAGATAATAAAAATAAAGTATTTTCAAAAAATTTTTTGGAATATCAATGACTTGTAAATGATTTTTTTATCATTTTACATACTATATTTTATTCACTTATTAATAAAATATCTTTTAATTATTTATTATAGAAATTATAATTATTTGTTATATTCATATCTTTTACATTATAAAATAAATTAAATGAAATAAAGATAATTAAATATAGATATTTAGTAATACAATATAGTTAGATACAGTGATATTGAAAATAAAATAAATAGTAATGTAATATCTATAATTAATTATAAAAGTGAAAACTATATCAAATGGATCCAAAATCAACTGCCTTTCATATATATAAGTAAACACTCATAAAAAAAAATAATTAACCTATTACATAAGTGTATAGTTATGAATTAAAAGATGTGAATTTATTTTTATTATCTCATTTAGAAAATTGGATAAGGATCATATGGAAGTGTTTATAAAGCAGTTCATAAATTAAGTAAATAAGTTAGAGCAGTTAAAGTGATTAATAAATTGAATATAAAATACAAAGATAGATTATTGAGTGAAATTACAATTATGGAGTTATTGGTAATTAATATAATCAATTTAAGGATCATCCTAACATTTTAAGATTATTTGAAACTTTTGAAGATGCAGAATATTTGTATATGATTTTAGAGTAAAAATATCAATTCAATTACTTGATAGAATCTGTTAAGGAGGCGATGTTTTTGATAAAGTACTTGAAAAAGGTTGTCTTTCAGTTGAGGATGCATTTAAAGTTTATATATAATACATGAGAGCAGTTAATTATTATTAAGGATTCAAAATAGTACATAGGTATATTAAAAATTATAATTGATAGAGATTTGAAACCTGAAAACTTTTTATTCCAAAAGAAAAATGACATGAGTTCATTAATTGTAATAGATTTTGGAATTGCAAAAAGAGGAATAGAAAAATTGAAAACTAAAAGTGGAACAGTAAAATTGTTAATTTAAAATTAGGCTTATTATGTAGCTCCAGAAGTATTGGATGGTTTATATGATTATAAATGTGATGTTTGGTCAGCAGGAGTTGTTCTATATGTTATTTTATGTGGTTATCCTCCATTTTATGGAGAGAATGAAAAAGAAATATTAATAGAAATTAAATCTGGAACTTTGCAATTTGAAGGTATTTATATTATATTTATATTAAGGTGATGAATGGTAAGGTATTTCATAGGAAATTAAAGATTTTATAAAGTTATAAGTATGTCCAGCATCAAATAGAATTATACCTAAAGATTTGTTAAGTCATAAATTAATAACCTAATACAATTAGAAGTTTCTTAAGGATTATAAAATGATTTCAATGTTAAATCTTAATTAATGGATTAAATATCATCCATTAAGAAGATTGGCACTTTATTATTTATCAACTTAAATTGATTCATGTGATTTAAGTAACTAAAAGAATAATTTCTTTTTCATAAATACATCATAAAGTGGATTGATAACATAATAAGAATTAGCTACGTATTTGAAAGTTAATAAATAAGATATTTAAAAATTATGGCCATATATTGATTGCAATAGTAATGGTTATTTAGATTATTTTGAATTTGTAGCTTTGACATTAACACCTATAGATTATCAAAAATAATTATAATTTATGTTTGATTTTCTAAGTTAATCTGATAATGTGATATCATAAAAAAGTATTAAATGTATTTTTGATTAAAATGCTAATTTAAATAATAAGTGGGATAGTATATCAAATACTAAAAATCAGTTTACTTCATTTAATCAACATGAATAATAGATAAATTTAAAAAACATTATTGATAAAGATATGGATTTTAATGCATTCAAAACAATAATGGGATGATTCAATAGAATATATATATATAAAATATATTAATTAAAATTTTTGTAATCAAACGATGGAAGCTTATAGATTCCATTTCCTTTATTTCTTTTTTTAATTACTTTCATAGTCTAAATTTATGAATATTTAATATACTTGTAATATACTTTTTAACTTAAACAACAAAGTAGATAATGACACCTAAAAAGATAGTTTCAATTATAGCTTAAACCATCATTAAAGTCCCTTGATACAATTATCCACAAATAATTTCTTACTTTTAATCTTCAGTTATATCTGTTGAAGTTGGTTACTATGTTGTATTTTCTTATAATAATCGAGTTTTAGATAAAATATTGTATTGTTAAGCATATCCTTGCATTAATGCCCAAACTAAAAAATATGTTATTAATCGAGTGGCTAGAACAGTTGATGTCAAACACAGATATTTTCCAATTTCTGAAGAAGACCTTGAATTAATACCAAGAAATCCATAGGTTGAACTTGCAATCCAAAAAATGTTTCCACCTACTATAACTAAACACAATATTGCATATGTGTAACATGTAGTTCGATAATGTATGAAATAATATAGAAATCTTATGCATTAATATATAAATGCACACTAACGATTATGGATAGTTAACTTACAATTATGAATATATTTGAACTTTACAAAAACCTTATTTTATCCTCTATAGCTTCATTAAATTCTTCACAATCAGGAGGTAATAAAGAATCACCTTATCGCTTTGTAATAATGAAAGGCTTATTAACTTCCATCTTAGGATTTGAATCTAAAAAATTAATATTTATATTAATATGAATCAATTAAGAAATTAGAGAGGTACAGAGACAGATGAAGTATACATTGATCCAGAGAGAGGAATAGCTATTAATGCTCGTTAGATGACTACTGAATAGCATTTCAAATATTACAAATCTTCATTCAGTACATTGAGACCTGATTTGACTGAATATGAATATGAAGCATTTTCTAAGAGATTGAGAGTTGGTACTTGAGAATTTTATATTAAAGGTGAGTCATTTTTGAATCACATGAGAGTATTTCTTAATCATGAATCAGGTAGGATCACAAATCTTTATAATTTAAGTGCTAGAATGGATAAAGCTCTGGTATTTTGATGCATTACTATAATCAAGAACTATTAATAATAATATTTCCATTTACGTACTCCTTTTATTTTGGGCCATAGATCAAATGCAAATAGAAATTGGGCTGATGCATCAAAAGTAGTGAATTATGTAGAGAAATAATTACTAAAAATCACAAAATATGGTAAGTATATCTAATCTAAAGATATTAGGTTTGGATTATCCTAATTATTATGCACCTGCAACAGCACAAGAATTGAATTAGAGAGAGGATGAGATTTATTAGAGATTTATCAAAGAAATGAGGAAACCTCCTGTCGTTGCAGTCTAATGAAATTTATACAAATAAACAATATTTTTATTATTCTAATCTTTTATACTAATAAACATATATGCTTAGTATATATAAATATAATCATAATCTCAATTCTAATTTGTTTCATTCAATTTATCTTTGCTAATATATTTAAACAAATAAAAGATTTAGTTTTATAGAGATTAATTTATAAAATGTCTGAAACTATAATATTTTATTATCTTTTTAAGTTATTAATTATGAGTAAGACAGAAAAAAAAGTGTTGTTTGAGGATGATATCTCTAGTACTCAAAGTTCTGAAGGAGAAGACTACATTCCTAAAAGAATAATTTCTAAATCTAATACTCGAAGGGTACATAAGATTCCAATTGAGCTACAACAATAATTATTTCGATAAGTATTTTAAGAAGGGAAATAAATTAAAGAGGTATTCTTTTTCATATTACAATCAGGTTGCCAAAGTTCTAAATTTAAATTACTCTAGTGCTAAATCTCTAATTCATTATTATAAAAATAATAAACGGTCAGCTCCTTTAGAAGTATTAGATGTTTTAAGTGGCAAGAAATAGTTAGTTTGTCGAGTTTCTTAAAAAATTGATAAAAAATACAATAATCTAAAAATAGAAGTCAGATCAAATAATTAAATTCTTCACTTCTACAATTACTATGAACATAAGACAACTAATGAATGAATTATAAGTGAATTATTATATCATTTATTATATTAAATCTTTCCCTTTATCTAAAATAGAATGTCAATTTAATAATTTTATACGTTAAATTAATATCAAAATATTGAATTTAAATAATCAATTGAATTAAGTGTTCTAGATTCTTTTAACATCATTCTTATTAATATAAATCTATATAATAAATCAATGATTGTGATAATTTTATTTATAATCATTAAATTAGTATATTTTTACCACCATACCTTTTTGGAATTGTTTCTTCATCTAAATCTCTTGATAATGCATTCTTAATCTCATTAAAATCTTATCCTATAAAATTTATCTAAAAATTAAAATTTATATAACCTTTTCAACTGTTCTAGATGGTAAAAAGGGCTTTAACATAGCATAAAAGGATCGAGTCAAGAAATTTGTATTTAATACATATATTCTAAATTATCTTTCAGGATAATAATTGAAAATTTCTATAAATGCATTCTTCAATACACTGAAAGAAAAGTTAGCTGGAGTCAATTTATAACAATCTATAATCACTATAAATTGATCTACATATCCTCTCATACTTGTATTATTAATATAAATAAATACGATCTAATTCCTTCTTCCATTAAACTTTAATGATATTCCAAATATCCTTATTCAGAGAATCCTTATTCATTTTCAAATTTTTCTGGATGTGAATTCATACCATTAGTTACTAAAATTGGATGACCCCATTTAGAAAATCCTAATTAAGTATGTACATTTTCGTTAGCATAAATTTAGTAATCAGAAGTCTTTCTAGAATTTATTTTATTTTCCTTTCTCCATTACTAAATAAAATAAAGAATTAAATACATACAAGGCATTTCAATATCATTTTTTCAGTTTCTTTTACTTTATAATTTCTTGCAATCAAATATCTAATCATGGTTTAATCATTCAAAAATAGATGTCCTATTTTCTCTTTTAATTCTGCTAATGCCTTCAATTATTCTTCATTTTAATGTATGATTCTTTTATGCATATTTTCATGTATTGCTGCAGGTTGATTTGGTTGTAATTAATGATCCACATAACCTAATCTATCTTAAGGAGGAAAATGTATATTTTCACCTTGTATAAATTCATTTTCTTAATTTTCTTAATTTGAATGATCTGTTCCAACCACAATTCTAGATTATATTATTGGTATAGATTCATTATTAATCTACATTAAAAGTAAATCTAATTCTGTTGAAATTATAGACAGATTAATTATTTATTCTTTCATTAATTTTCTTATTATTTTTTCATTTTCATCTTTCTTTACTACATACATATATTAAGTAAAACATTTAGAATCTTCCTCAACTACATGTATAATTTCCAAAACTTTAAATATAGATATCATATTTTTCTTTGATTGTTTTTCATCTGTTTTAATCATTGGAAATTAGTTTTCAGTGATAGATTCTTTGGTTAAAAAAAATGAGTTATTTCTTTGAAAATCAAACTATATATATTTGGATTCTAAAACAAATTTCTTACCATCATTATTAAAATGCCAAATATCTTAATGAAATTAATTTAAATCAATCTCATGAACATCAGATTATTTTCTAAATAAATCTAACAGTTTTCCACCTTTCTAATTTAATTTAATAAATTCATTTACTTGAATTATTGTTATCACATTTTAAAGTGAAGTATTAAATACATATTCTCCTTTTAATATGATATTATTTTATGATTAAATTGCTGTTAATTTCATTTGCTTTAATGTTTTCTCAATAATCCATTTATCTTTACTTAATTCTTAATAGAGTTATAATTATTTTTAAACATATTCAGGAATATTTCTAAATCAATAGAAAAATATATATACTTTGTAACATTTGATGAATCATTCTTATACGATCTATTTTAATCAATTGAAATCTAATAACTTGTTTAATGGAGCAATGCTTCATATTCAGAAATGAGTATAGCTTATTTAATTTTACTAACCCATTCTGCAGCATCATCATATGTCATAGTTATAAATTACATAATAATCTCTTATTATAAATGTCTTAGAGTAAATGTATAATAACCATCTTCCTACCAAGTGCCATCAACTATGAAACCTGATAGATCAATTCTTTCTTGTGGTATATGAGTCTGATAATAAATAAGCAATTACTTTGTCATCTTCAAAAATCAAAAATTGAGTTCCTTCCAAATAATAAAATTTAGTAGTTTTTAGTCCAAATATATGTTTCTGTTATCTTAGCTTATTTTATTAAATTACAGATATCCATTTTTGATTGGTCTTTAATTCATTAATTTTAATAAAGAGATGTATAATTTATATTAAAAAAGATGAAAATAATGTATTTGATCTGTTTAATATATTTTGGGCATGGCTTATCAGTTTAGATTACCTAAAAGCCTACATGTTTTTATGTTAAATCATATACAGGAAATACTTATGTTACAGTAAATTATTAGATATCTGGATTGGATGAAAATAAAACAGAAATTACAATAGAATCAGAAAATGGTGATAAATTAGTAAAGAAATAAAATACTAAAGAAGGAGCACTTAAATAATTGTTAAGAGATAAGGGAACATATTATATCTGTTTCAAAAGTTTATCTAAAGGCTATAAGACTGTGAGTTTTGATTTTGATATGGAAGGTGTAGATAAAGAATATGCATAATCAGAACAATTTAGTGAGATGTCTAAAGAGTTGTCAAGAACTAATAGAAACTTTTAGACAATATACAGAAATTAGAATTGGATTACTGATAGAGAAAACGCTCATTAAATATGTAAATATTATTATTAAATTAGTGTTGGAATAAACATAATAAAATGTTAAATGGTGTGCTTCAGCAAAAATAGGAATATTAATAATAATAGCTTTAACTTAGATAAGTGTTGTATATTATTTTTTTAAAGATAAAGATTTTAGTGCAAGAGTGTGATAATTATCTTATTGATAGATATATAGAAATAATCACTTTTTCTTTTAAACGATTTTATTAGTTTATTATTATTATTATTACTAAATAGCCTTTTATTATTGTTAATTTGGTCTTGTATAAGCAGTAGTATATTGTTATTATTTATTAGTTTGTATTTATTATTTTGGAAAGGGTTTATCATTTCCAACTAATCCTTATTATAATTTTTATGGCATTTATTAATATTTCTAATCCTAAAAAACATTCTATTAGATGTCAGGAGTAGTTGATAGAGGAAGATAATCCTAACCAACTTTTTTGCCTAATGCTTTTCTTTCTGACTCATCTTCAAATAAAGTTTCATGTAATTCCCATCTTCTATCACATGCTATACAAGCAAAATAGGAATCAAAATCAGAACATTGACATTTCCTGCATCTTAATGGATAATTTGGAAGATGATCTTCACATCCATGATTACATTTACAAGGAGGTCTCCATGTTAATATATTAAAGTCTTTTCTGCGAGGTAGCCAATACATTCCACATTCTTCTGGTCTTGAAGGTACAAACTAAAACCTTTTGCATTCACACTTTTCACATCCAGTATTAAATTTTTTACCTAATTGTTATTTGTGTTAACTAAATAGATGTCCACAAAAACATTTGCTTGTGGAACCAATTCTACTACATTCAGATTTCTACTCTGCACAATAATAAGTAATCTTATTATTATTTGTTTTTATACATAAATTCCAGTATTTAGTGTTTCCAAAGCATGTTGGTATTCTTGATCTATTATCTTTCTAGCACCAACAGCTGGTCCATATTTTTGTACGCCTTCACGTACTTGCTGCTCATTCATTGCCATATAATTGAACATTTTTTATTATTTGATTAATATAAAACATCATTTTCATTTTACCCATTCAAATTAAGATGGTCCTAATGGATGTTTGGATCCATACTAGATCATAATTTATTTTATTGGATCTAAGTTATTTATTACTTTTGCTCCTAATTATCTCAAAGGAGATATAGTCTTATTCTCATAAGTGTTCTTTATTAATTCCATAGCTATTGAAGTTGTATAATTCATAAGTTTAGCCTATGATTCATATTCTTCAAGAGATTATTCTAAGCCAATATCATTTCCAGACCTAGAATTTTTTATAATACAATTGGCCAAAAGAGCTGCATCATTGATTCCCATATTCATGCCTTATCCAGCCATAGGATGATTNTGGAATAAACATAATAAAATGTTAAATGGTGTGCTTCAGCAAAAATAGGAATATTAATAATAATAGCTTTAACTTAGATAAGTGTTGTATATTATTTTTTTAAAGATAAAGATTTTAGTGCAAGAGTGTGATAATTATCTTATTGATAGATATATAGAAATAATCACTTTTTCTTTTAAACGATTTTATTAGTTTATTATTATTATTATTACTAAATAGCCTTTTATTATTGTTAATTTGGTCTTGTATAAGCAGTAGTATATTGTTATTATTTATTAGTTTGTATTTATTATTTTGGAAAGGGTTTATCATTTCCAACTAATCCTTATTATAATTTTTATGGCATTTATTAATATTTCTAATCCTAAAAAACATTCTATTAGATGTCAGGAGTAGTTGATAGAGGAAGATAATCCTAACCAACTTTTTTGCCTAATGCTTTTCTTTCTGACTCATCTTCAAATAAAGTTTCATGTAATTCCCATCTTCTATCACATGCTATACAAGCAAAATAGGAATCAAAATCAGAACATTGACATTTCCTGCATCTTAATGGATAATTTGGAAGATGATCTTCACATCCATGATTACATTTACAAGGAGGTCTCCATGTTAATATATTAAAGTCTTTTCTGCGAGGTAGCCAATACATTCCACATTCTTCTGGTCTTGAAGGTACAAACTAAAACCTTTTGCATTCACACTTTTCACATCCAGTATTAAATTTTTTACCTAATTGTTATTTGTGTTAACTAAATAGATGTCCACAAAAACATTTGCTTGTGGAACCAATTCTACTACATTCAGATTTCTACTCTGCACAATAATAAGTAATCTTATTATTATTTGTTTTTATACATAAATTCCAGTATTTAGTGTTTCCAAAGCATGTTGGTATTCTTGATCTATTATCTTTCTAGCACCAACAGCTGGTCCATATTTTTGTACGCCTTCACGTACTTGCTGCTCATTCATTGCCATATAATTGAACATTTTTTATTATTTGATTAATATAAAACATCATTTTCATTTTACCCATTCAAATTAAGATGGTCCTAATGGATGTTTGGATCCATACTAGATCATAATTTATTTTATTGGATCTAAGTTATTTATTACTTTTGCTCCTAATTATCTCAAAGGAGATATAGTCTTATTCTCATAAGTGTTCTTTATTAATTCCATAGCTATTGAAGTTGTATAATTCATAAGTTTAGCCTATGATTCATATTCTTCAAGAGATTATTCTAAGCCAATATCATTTCCAGACCTAGAATTTTTTATAATACAATTGGCCAAAAGAGCTGCATCATTGATTCCCATATTCATGCCTTATCCAGCCATAGGATGATTTGAATGTGCAGCATCTCCAATTAATGCTATTCTCTTCTAAATATATCTTTAAGCTTGTAATGACTATAAAGGAAATGCCATCCTTTTATTTGAAATACTCTTTATTCTTGGTGAATATCTACCTAATTAACTATTAAGGACCTAGAGAAATTACTCATCCGACAATGACATTAAATATTTATAATCATCCAAATATGCTGTCCATACTATTGAACTATATGGATTATAAAGAGGTAATAAAGCTAATGGACAACTATTTTATTAATTATCTTATACCCATTTGATAAATAAGTCTAGTATGCTACTTCACTGTCTTAATCAGTTCTTTCAACTGTACATACAATACCCATTTAATGATATGAATGACCATATGTACCTATATTACTACACTCTTTCACTTTAGATTTATTACCATCACTCCCAATTAATAATTTACATTGAAATTTATCATTTACTGTTACATATTCATTAGGCTTAATATCTATTTTCTCTAATTTACTTTCAAACTCTATCTCTCCATCATATACTTCTAATAATGCATTCACTATATTATCATATTCAATTATATGGGCTGATTAATTCTTGAACTCCAAATAATCCTAACCATTGCTTTCATCAATGATCATTCTGTTATATTAATTAACTCTTCCTTATTCAAGTTTATCCCATGCTCCTACTGATTACAAAACTTCTCTTGAAGATTATGTGACTGATAATACTCTCTGATTAGGAAGTCCCTACTTATTAAATTAAGGTCTTTTTATTGAATCTAAAATTATGATTTTATTTAATTATTTTGATTTCTATAGAGCAGCTGCCAAAGACAATCCAACAGGGCCTGCCCCAATTATGCATACATCATAAATTTACATATTAATTAATTAAATGCTATAATTAGTTTTATAATAATCATAATATCATTTAATTAAATTTATATGTAGTCATAAAAACGAGTCAATAAAGCATTCATAATCCAAAGGATTCAAAGCTGTACTATTATAATCAACATATGGATTAGGAGATCCAACTTTAGAATCTTAATAAAACTCTTCCTTTCTCACTATAGTCTAGTTTATAGTATTTGAATCACTTTATTCTAAATAATAAAAATGTAAAATTTACTTTCTGATTTAAGCTCTTCATTAATAGCTTACAACATCTATCCTACTTACTTAAATTTTTGTTCAATATCAACATTTTGATTATAAATATACTTAAAATATGTAATCATTTATTACATAATTTAAATTTTACATTTAATCTATTAAATATGAAGAAGTCTCTTGTAATAACTTCATATCTTCCTTTAATTTATTATTTGTTTATTTTATATCAATAGCACACTCTTTAAAGAGATTTTATTCCTCTTATATATGAGATGCTAACGTTAAAGATTATTACACATTTACCTCGTTCTTCTTATATAGCTGATGTAATAGGCTAATCTTCTTGATTTTTTTTTTTAATATATCGTAGCATCTATCTATTAATTATTATTGACTTAATACTTAGTTCCTTTTCGAAAAAAATTATGCTTAAAAATGAATCCTTCATTAGATTTAACCTTCTTAAAATTATAGAGATTTAATTATCTAAATTTAGTTTTATTTCTTACCTGACAAAACTAGAATAATTACTATGTTTAAAAAAATTTTATAAAACATTTTTTTCCAACAAATCTTAATTATATACTATAAAAGCAGTTCCTTAATTGATCCAACTTATGATATTCTCACTCATTTTATCCTAATAACTCTATAGTTTTTATTATAATACCTCTAACATTTAATAAGTTTTAAGAATAAAGGTAGGTATTATATTCTTTACACTCATAAATAATCCTAATCTGATTTTATTAAATTATCATTTTTATTAAATTTGTTTATTTATATATAATATGAATTATACACATGTTCTAATAAATCAATCTGAATCTTCTTCATCTTCCTGTTATGCATCTCTTTACATAAACTATGAAACCCATTGTTCTGCCTATTCCTTTACTTTCTATATAGTTGCACTATCTCCATATTAATTTTCATATTCTAATTATTTCTTAAATAAAAATTTGATCTTTCTTGGTTTCTTATTATTATGAATAGCCTTTTAAAATATTGATCTAACCACATCAGGTTAACAATATTTAATCACTAAATCTAAATATTATGACCATATATCAGTTCTAATTATTATTCAATTAAAATACCTTGTAGAATTTTTATCCAAAATAGTTTCATATGTAGTTTTACCTTCTTCAATTTAATTATTCTAAAATTACAATCTCCCATAAAAAGATAAAAGTTTGACTTGCTTTGTTTTTTTCAAACACTACATGGCTCTATTTAATGTATCCTTAAAAGAATATTAAGGATTTTCATCATCATGTACTTTCTACCATTCCATTAAACTCTATAAAAATTCCATCCAACTTTTGCAACTTTATTTGTATTTTTAGACAAAAGACTATAAAAATTATATATTTAAATTTACTCTTGATAATTCAACTGTTAAATCTACTTTTTCTGCCTTTCTGTAAATATTGATCAATTTTATATGAAGTTTCTTTCCATCACAATTTTAACAACCTCTTTTAAAGACACTAATCAAATTATCTTCAGATCCAAAATTGAATTCTAAATTTAAATAAGCTGTCCATAAATTCAATCTTTCTAATTCATTACTAAAATTGATAACTCTTAATGCTCTTTCAATAATATTTCTAGCACTCTCAATACCTTCATTTTCAGCAGCATAAGCAACAAATTCAATCCAAATCACAGATGAATTAGGATTTATTAATATTTTTCTAAATCATAAATATATTAATATTACTTCTCATATTCAGCTCTTGATTCTAAATTTTATACTTCCTCTCTAATTTCTTCTTAATCATTTTCTTCTTCTATCTCTTAATCTTTATGATCTTCTTCCTCTTCTACATCCTCTTACTCATCTTCATTATCTTCTCCTTCATTTACTTCTTATCCAATTTCTTCTTCTTCAATTTCTTTATTTTAATTCTATTATTCTACTATTACATTATTTTTAATTTAATGTTATTTGACCATTTCTTCAAAACTCTCATGCAATTCTATAACATCTTATTAAATATCCCCTAATTCAATTTATCTCTTTCCTTCAGTTTTAATCAATTCTTAAAGATTGCTTAATCTTAAAACTGTCTAATTATTTTTATTCTGTCTTTAACCAATCACTAAACATTATATTTATTATCCAATCTTAAATAATTTATTTGCCCACCAACCATCTTCACCTTCTAATCCCTCAGCATCTTTCTTATCCAATTCTCCTTATTGTAGAGTACCCAATATCTTTATTGCAGCCTTCTCATTTCTAATATTTACTACCAAACCTTATACAATATCTCCAATTCTTAATTATTTATCTTCTAACTTATATTTAAGTAAATTTAAATCAACTGTTCCTTATAATTTATTTAATTAAGTAATCATTAATACTATTGGTCTATATTTAATGTCAGTTTTGAATCCTCTTATTAAACAAGTTGTTTCATAATTTAACTTAACAAAAGTACCATTATATGTACTTCCTGTAACATATCCAATTGCCACTTATCCTACAGCTAAAGGAGTCTTTTTATATAATTATGTTCTAACATCATATTTTAGTGAGAGTATCATTTTTTAATAAGAAATTGTATTACTTTTAACAGGATGAAGACATTTATTCCATAACTTATCATTGAGGAATGTTTCTCTAGCACTAGCCCAATAAACTTTATCTTTTGCTATTATTCTACAAACTCCCCATCTTCCTACAGGAAACTATTCAAATAAATTTAATTCCCATAATTCTTATAATTCTGTTATATCAATAGATGCAAATTATCTATTTTTTAATTGAACTCTAATATATGAATCATGATGACTTAGAATTCTATAAATTTATTTTGTGTATAGAATATCATTTATATTCTATTATTATTTTTTTTCTTGATCATCTTCAGTTATTATAATACCTTTCAATTATTTATCAAATTCATATAATTTTATTTTAACTGGATGTCCTTACTGAATTTAAGATTCTAAATTATTCAAAATATCAGTTTATTCAACATTTATATCCCAGCCATCAATAAAAACATTATAATTATAATAGATTTAAACAACTAAAGGAGATTTTGAGTCACTTTTGATATGTTTTATTATACCATAAACAATTTTATTGCTATCTTTTTAAACATCCTTTTCTAATTCAATATGATCTGATAAACATGTCAAATCAAAGATTTATTTATTATTTTCTTTATTTTCTCCTAATATTTAAGCAGTTATTTGAGAACCTACATTAAGATTTTCAAATTCACTCTATAATTTAAATAATCTATCTTCATTTCTATAACACTCAAAGAATGCCTTATGAATTCTACCAAATTTTCCGTCTTTTAAATTAACATATACAACATTATTCTTGATTGCACTTACAATACATTACACTTTTTCTCCTAAATTTAATTTAGTTTTAACTTGTTTTATCAATGGAACATTTTAAGTTTATCCTTCATTAACTTATTTTTATTTTGGATCTATTTTTTTTAAAGAGAGTAACAATTTATTTTCACTTTAATTTATGTATTTAACATATAC